CCCCCCGAGCGTCGCCCTTTCTGCCGTACGTCACCCCACCCTCGACTCACCCGCCCTTGCGGTTGTCGCCCGTGCTGCCCACGCGCGCACTCAGCGACGCCAGCACGCACAGCCCGCGCGGCGCCACCGCGGCGCCCGCGTCTTCGGTGCCGGGCTTGGGCTCGGGCAGGCGCCGCGGCAGCAGCGGCGCAAAGTGCTTGTAGGCGAGCAGCGGGCCAAACGTGTTGATCCTGGCAAGTAATAGAAAGCAGGTCAGACTGGGCAGAGCAAGAGCGAGGCCAGCACGGTAATGGTGAGCCCTAGCAGAGCAGACCAACGCTTGCAGGGCGAGAGTGGCAAGCATCGCCACGGCCGGAAGCGCCAACATCGGCAGAGCCAGGCCAACACTGGCGCAGCGGAGAGCACTGGCGCAGCGCACGACGCTTGCAGAGCGCTGGCCCTTGCAGAACGCCAAGCTCGCAGAGCATCTTGCTTTGCAGAGCGCATTCTCCAATGACCATCCCTTGCGAGCGCCAGCCCCCTCTCCCCATTCTCTCGAGCCTCCCCCCCCCTTTCTCTCGCGCCATGTTTCGCCGAACGTCAACACCTGCAATCCCCCTCCCCTGCGGCATGCTTCGCCGAGCGATAGAACCTGCATCTGCGTCATTCATCGCGCCATCTTTGCCGCTCACCCCGACGGCATCACTTGCCGCATCACTCGCCCACTTTGCGCGGCGCCACCGGCGGCGGCCACATCGGGCACCACCGGATCGGCACGCCCACTCGGCCACTCACTTGAACTGGCGCAGCATCTCCTCGTACTCGACGTGCTGCAGTGCCTTTTCGACGGTGAGCTGCGGGGGTGGCAGGAGTGGGTTCAGACGCGACATCTGCGGCGCACTCGGCGCAGGCGCGACATCTTCGGCGCACCCATGCGCCCTGCACTGCATTGCCCTCATGCGGCAGCCCCATGCGCCATGCGCTGCATCGCCCAGCCATGCGCCGTGCGCTGCACTCACCACGCCCGCGACGTTCCACAAGCTGCGCAGCTCGCCCATCTCGCGGCACTGCTTTGCCGCCTCTTCAATGCTGCGCTCGTCCGTCACGTCGACCGCCAGCGTCGTCAGGCGCCGCGCCGCGCCGTCGTCCATGCCCTGCAGGATCGCCTCGCGCGCCGCGTCCGGCGTGCGGCTCGCACACACGACGTCGAGCGCCGACGTGGCCAGATGCGCGCGCGCGAGCGCCAGGCCGAGGCCGCGCGACGAGCCGAGGATCACGGCGAGCGACATGGTGCGAAGTGCCAAGTGCGAAGGGTCAAGTGCGAAGTAGAAGAGTTCCAAGTGCGTGTGCTTGTGCTTGTGCCTGTGCTTGTGCTTGTCGTGGTGGGAAGGAAGGAGTGAGGCCGGGCGGCGGCGGCGGCGCGACTCAGACTTGTCAGCAGCGCGGCACGGGCTGCACCCTGCGACGCAAGACGCCGAGCGCCGCTTGAGGCAACGCACGGCGCCGTCACTCGATCGTGTTGCGCTTCGGCACCTCTGCTCGCTCTGCATTGCAGCTTGCTCAGCATTCGCTGGTGCGGCGCACAAGATGCTGCGCAGACACAGAGAGACGCCGCTCGCTGCGTGCGCGTCAGCGAGGGGAAGGCCAGGTGGAGGTTGGCGCGCGCGGCGGCGCGGCGTTGCTCGGCCGCACGTGCCGCGCGCGGCGGGCACACACTGCACACCAGCAGCCGGCAGCCGGCCTGACCGCCCGCCGCGCTTGCGTCTCTCGCCTCCACTCCACCACCGCAGCCATGGCCTCGTATCTCCACCTGCGCGTCGCACTCACCCTCGCCGACGGCGCGCCGCTCGTCGGCCACATCCGCGCCATCGACGCCGCCGCCGGCGCACTCACCGTCGAGCCGGCGTCCGGCGGCGCGCCCGTCGTCGTGCCGCGCGCCCGCATTGCCGCCCTCGAGCTGGCGCCCGAGGCCGCGCCGGCCGCAGCTCAGCCGCCGCAGCCGCAGCCGCCGGGCAAGAAGAAGAAGGCCAAGAAGGCGGCGGCGCCGGCCGCGTCCTCGCTGCCCGCGCTGCCCACGGGCAACAAGAAGGCGGCCGCCGCCTCGTCCGCCGCGCCGGCGCTGCAGGGCCGTGCCGCGCCCGTCGCCGACGAGTACGCCGACGACTTTGACTTTGACGCGGGCCTGCGCAGCTTCGACAAGCGCAAGGTGTGGGACGAGATCCGCGTGCGTCCTGCTGCTGCTGCTGAGGGCCCCCATGTGCGTTGCGCTGAGGCTGCCTGCACAGGCCGCAGACACGACGTCACCCGCCGCCCGCCTGCACGCCCACAACCGCGCCGTGCCCGGCGGCGGCGGCAGCGCGCCGCCCGCCGCCGCCGGCGACGAGAGCGACGCAGAGGGGCTGCCGCCGCGGCGAGCACGCACCGCGGCCGAGGGGCAGCGCAAGATGCGCCACACCGACCTCGTCCTCTCGCCGTCGCCGCCGCCCCTCGAGGAGCGCTTTGCGGCGGCGCAGCTCGCCGAGGCGCAACCACAGCCCGCCGGCTCCGACGACGGCGACACCCTGGCGCTGCTATGCGCTCTGTCTGGCATGGACCTGGCGCGCATCCCGTCGCCGTCGCCCACGCCTCTCTTCGCCCTCAGCATCTACGTGTCCTCAGCCGCGCGCACGGCTGCACTGCGCGCAGACGCGCCGCAGGGGCGCCTCGTCTTTCACTTCTCGGGCACGCCCGCCAAGCTGCGCTTCCTCGGGCCGGACCGGGGCAAGTCGGACGCTGCGCTGCTCGAGAAGCTGCCAAAGCAGTACTCGGGCGAGATGGGCTGCAACGCGGAGCGGGCGGCGCTGCTCGTTGGCAGGCTGCGCGAGGCAGTCGAGAAGGCAGGGCGGGAATAGACAATGCATTGTGAGCCCGGCGGGATATAGGTGCCAAGCACGGCGGAGCATGGGGCAGTTGGTTGGACGCTGGGCTCAGCTGCGCGCCGCAGCGACGTTGACCTTGCCCAGGGCGCGGCCGTCGATGAGGTAGGCGTACGCGTCGCGCGCCTCGTCGAAGGCGAACGTGCGGTCGACGACTGGGCGGATCTTGCCTGTGCGGCGCGTCAGTTGCTGTGCTGGGCAGCCGCGACCGAACAACGCACCTGAGTCGACGAGGCGCTGCAGTTCGGGGAAGAGCGTCTTGTCGAGGTGCAGCATCGAGAATTTGCGCGGAATGCCGCCCAGGAACTGCGCCGCCACATGTCAGCATCGCCTGCGTCGCGCGAGGCACAGCCCCACTCACCGAGGGCAGCACGCGAGCCTTGAGCTGGAAGCCGACAAGGCCGAGCACCTTGGTGCTGAAGATGCCCGTCTCCGGCACGATGCCCGTCGCGCCGACGGTGCGGTACTCGCCGTCTGGCTTCTGCAAGGGGCGCGCATTGAGCGGTGCTCGGCGATGCGAAGAAGAGGGCACGCACCAGGTACGCGGGGCTCTTGGCGTGGATCGATGCGTCGCCGATGCAGTCCCACGCGACGTCGAACGGCTCGTTCTTGTAGCGCAGCGCCAGCTCGCCGGCGACGTCGACCTCGCGGTCTGCGCATGCGTCAGTGCAGCTGTGAGCGCTGGACGCTGCGCCACTCACAGTCAATCGTCTCGTCGACGCCGCGCTCCTTGATGAACTTGGCCTTGGCGCCGCTGGCGCTGGCGACGATGAGCGAGGCGCCCTTTGCGCGCGCCACGTCGGCCGCGAGCAGGCCGACGGCCGTGCTGCCGCCGACGATGAGCACGCGGTCGCCCTGCCTGAGCGTGGCGGCGAGCGTGAGGGCGGTGAGGCCGACGAGCGTCACGCCGCCGAGCTCCTCGTCGCTGAGGTGCGCCGGCGCGGGCAGCACAAACTTGCGCGGCACGTTGACAAACGTCGCCAGCGCGCCGTTCTTGCCGCGCGCCAGGTCCTCGGCGGGCACGAAGCCGTACACGCGCGTGCCGGGCTTGAGCGAGTCGATGGACGCCCCGACAGCGTCGACGGTGCCGGAGAAGTCGGACGCCGGCACGCGCGGCAGCTTCTGCAGGAAGCCGGGCAGCAGCGCCGCAATCTTGCTGCGGCCGGGAGTGCGTGGGTGAGCTGCCGAGAGACGGGACAGCCACGGCAGCGTACGCTGCAGCCGACCTCGCCGCGGCTGGCCAGCGCCCTGCCCACGCGGCTGCCACTCACTAGTCGACGGGGTTCAGCGCGGCGTAGGCGACACGCACGCGCACCTCGTCGGCACCGAGCGCGGGCAGCTCGACGTCGCGCTGCTCGAGCGTCTGCGCAAGCGAGCCGGCGCGGGCGATGACGTGGGCGCGGGCCTTGGTGGCCATGGTGTGGTGTGGGGTGGGGATGTGCGGTGGTGGTGTGAGGCAGCGAAGGGCTGAGGAGGCGTGGCTATTTGAGTGCCGCCGCCTCCACCTCGCCTCGCCCGGGTCGGCGTCGCACGGGGCCGCGCCGGCGCGCACACCGCAGCACCCAGCAGCTGCAGCTTCTCGAGGTTCCCACCGCTGTCCCGCTCCCATCGCAAGCACGGAGCGCACTGCAGGAGCAAGAGCTTGCGGCCGACAGCGCAGCGCCGTGCTATCCCCGGCCCGGACGCCCGAGAAGGTTCGTGCGCCTCGCCGAGTGCCGGCGAGCGTGAGACGCGCGCAAAGCCGCGGCACTGCGCAGCGGCGCCGCGGCTCTTTGGGCGAGATCGCGAGCCGCTCGTCACCGGCGCGCGCATGCTGCTCACGGGCCGCTTTCGCGCGATGCCGCACGCCCCGCGCTGCACCCTAGCCTGTCGCGACGGCGCTCGTACACATCACAATTCAGAGCTGACCGCTGCACGGCTCCTGCAGATGCGGGCGAGCGCTGCTGCTCCCACGTGGTGCGGCTTCGTCTTGTCCTCGGGACGCGCCGCGCGCTCGCAGGACGCGCGCGCTCGCAGCTTGCCAGCGCACCACAAGCACATCAAGCTGCATGGACCACGCCTCGTCAAGCACCGCCGGCGTGCGAGCTGCGCGCCAGCAGCTGCTGCTCCAGAGCGGCGCCGCCGTGCCGCCGCGCTCGCCGGCGTTCCGCTGGCCGCCGCACGAGGCCCTGCTCGGCGCGCAGCGGCACCTCGTCGCCGACCTCGCTCTGGCGCGCCCCGAGGGCCAGACGTACGCACGGGCGCTGGCAAAGGGCCTCATTGCCAGGCTTGAGGAGGCGGTGCGCGATGCTGAGGCGCGCGGCCACGAGGCCGAGGTGAGCGCCGAGGCCGAGGGGAGCGCCTCGGGCATCAGGCTCGCGCAGCAGCTGACTCTCGCCCAGGTCGACGGCAGCCTGCTCGAGGTGTACGCAGAGCTCCTGAGCGGTGCTTCAGGAAGCAGGTAAGCTGTGCTGTGGTGCTCGGCCATATGCCCGCTCGCTGAGCCAGTGCAGCCTCGCGGCCACGGTGCCCCCGCCCCAGACGCGCGCCTACTACTTCCCTCGCTCCCTGCTCGGCGGGCGCACCGCTGCCGCATCAGAGGGCGCAGGCCACGCGGGCTCTCTGATGCATGGCTGGGAGTGTGTGCGGCTCGTCGAAGACGGCACGACGATTGCGCAGGGCACCACTGGGCTGCGCACATGGGAAGCCAGGTGCGTTTTGCGAAGCTGTCAGGTGGCCCGCTGGAGGCTCACCCGTCCCCCAAGCCTGCGTCTTGGAGCGCACTTCCTAGCACGCCCGCCGCCCACAGACGCGCGCATTCTCGAGCTCGGCGCCGGCGCCGGCTTGCTCGGCGCCATAGCCGCCAGGCTCTGCCCTGCACACGTCACGCTGACCGATCTCGAAGGGCCCGTGCTGGACCGCCTGCGCTCCACCGTGGCGCTCAACGGGGCAGCAGCACAAGTCGGCGCACTGGACTGGTGCGACGTCGACGAGGAGCTGCTGCGTGCAGCTCACGCAGACGTAGTCCTCGCCGCAGACGTCGTCTTTGACCCGTCGCTCATCGCGCCGCTGGCCCACACGCTGCGTCGGGCCCTCGAGCTGGGTGCCGAGCATGCCTATGCGCTCGTCGCCGTCACGGAGCGCAACGCCTCGACGTACCAACGCTTCCTCGCTGCGCTGGCCGAGGCACAGCTGGATGTGCAGCCGCAGACGCTGCAAGAGCCCGCGCTGCCGCCAGACGCCCCGCCGTTGCCGCTCTTTCCCAGCGCGCACGAGCCGCTACGAGACGGGCCTGTGCGCCTGCTCGCTCTGCGATTGCATGCCCGATGAGGGTCCAGCAAACATCAAACGATTTGCTTGCCATTCGCAAGGGTGGCGTAAGGAAATCGAGTGGGGTGGAGGGGACGGCAGACCCGAGTGCCGAAGTGGACGCAGCTCGTCGTCCGAGACCCGAGCTCGCCGACATTCCTGCACTCGACTTGGCTGCCTGCGCACCACGAGCCGTGGCAGATGCAGGTGCAGGATGGATGCCGCTGCGCTGTGCAGCTGGGCGGGGCCCCGCGCCCAGCCAGACGGCAGCATTCCAGGCAGACGTGGCGAGCACGCGCTGCGCTGCGGAAGAGAAAATGTCGTGTGTCGTCGACGACGCGCTCGACGCATGACGGCGGATGTGTCAAGCAGGCACGAGATGGCCGCCTCCCGCCGGCGCGGTGCGTCGCAAGCCAAGCATAAAGGCGGGGATTGCCTGCTGCTGCTTCTTTGCGCTGAGCGCTGCTGCTGCATGCTGCGCCCTGAGGTCGGCGTCGGTGCGAGATCGGCTGCGAGCGCTGCCGAGCAAGAAGCATGCGCTGCAGCTGCGAGATGGAGGAGCTGCGGCTGCGGGCGTGCAGGCAGCCGACGAGTCTCCACCTCCGCGGCCGCTTCCCCGCCTTTGGCAGCGCGCGTGAGTGCGAAGCCGGATGCGCCGGGCGTATCACGAGAGCGGCGGATGCTGCGCGTTGCTCGTGCGCCGACACTGCCGCCGTGCCGCCTGTCTCGCAGCGCCGTGCCTGGTGCGTCAGCGTGCGCTGCTCCGTCTTCCGCCCCGCTGCCGGCTCAGCAGCCAGCGGAGGCGCCTCGACGTCGACGTTTGCGCTGCCGGACAGCAGCAGCACCGACTTCGCGGCACTCGCAGCGCTGCTCCTCACCACCACCCCCATCTCCACGCCCGCCATGTCTGTCCCGCACCCCGCGCCCGTCAAGCAGGCGCCCGAGTACCACAATGTCCTCATCATCGGCGGTGCGTCGCCGTGGCCGCGCTGACCGGCGGGCGTGTGCTGACGGCGCCTGCAGCCGGCGTCACCGGCCTGGCGATGGGCTGCCAGCTGCGCTCCATGCTCGGCGAGACCGACGTGCGCATCTTGTGCGTGTGCCGCGCGCGCGCCGTCGGTGCGCCAGCGCTGACTCCCGCCGCAGCGAGCGCGAGGCCGGCATCGGCGGCACGTGGTGGAGCAACACATAGTGAGCGGCGGCGACGCCAGCCACACGGCGCAGTGCTGACGCCCGGCACAGCCCCGGAGCAGGCTGCGACATCGTGCGTCGCGCGGCGCTCCGCTGCTGCGCCTCCAGGCTCACCCCTCTCCCCAGCCGATCCCGCTCTACTCGTTCTCCTTTGAGCAGCGCAAGGACTGGACGACGTTCTTTGCACTGCAGGACGAGATCCAGACGTACCTGCAGGACGTGGCGGACAAGTACGACCTGACGCGCAAGACGCACTGCTCCACGGAGGTCTCGTCGGCGCACTGGGACGAGGCGCTGGGCCTCTGGCACGTCTACACGCGCCCCGCGCGCGGCGAGACGACGCGCGGCAACGAGGACAAGCACTGGGTGTGCAAGGTGCTCGTCAGCGGCGTCGGTGGCCTGTCGCAGCGTGAGTGGGGGGAATGGCTGTGTTGATGCAGAGCGATGCACCGCAACGCAGAACGCACCTCTAACCCCCCCCCCCCCTGCAGCGAACCCGTGCACGATCGATGGCCACGAGAAGTTCCAGGGTCCGCTCTTCCACAGCGCGCGCTGGGACCACAGCACGGAGATGAAGGGCAAGCACGTCATCGTCGCGGGCAACGGCTGCTCGGCGACGCAGTTTGTGCCCATCATCGCCAAGGAGGCCAAGTCGGTGACGCAGTTTGTGCGCTCCAAGCACTGGTACGCGCAGCGCCCGGCGAACCCCGTCGACTTCCGTCTGTGGCGCTGGTTGGTGCGCTACGTGCCCGGCTTTGTGTACCTGCAGCGCGCCGTCATCTTCACCGTGCTCGAGCTCTCGATGCTCATGATGTTCAAGCACCGCCTCGGCACACTCTACCGCAACAAGTTCGCCGCCGACTGCATCGCGTACATCAAGAAGACGGCGCCGCCCAAGTACCACGACGTCCTCGTGCCCAAGGACGGCGAGCTGCAGCCTGGCTGCAAGCGGTGCGTGCGGCATGTGTGAGGCGAGCGCGCCTCTTGCTGACGTCCTGCGCAGCCGCGTCTTCGACACGGACTACCTGCCGGCGCTGCGCCGTGACAATGTCGAGCTGGAGCGCTCGGCACTGGTCGAGATCAAGGAGAAGAGCGTCATCTGCAAGGTGCGCCGTGATGCCCGCCATGCTCGTCGCAGTGGCTGACAACCCATGTAGGACGGCCGCGAGCTGCCGGCCGACGTCATCGTCATGGCCAACGGCTTCAACATCACCGAGATGGGCTTCCCGATGAAGGTGCGTGCTGCGCTGGCCGTGCTTGACTGCTTGCTCACGCCACTCGCAGATCTACGGCCGCAACGGGCACGACGTGCAGAGCTACTGGAAGGCGAACGGCGGCCCGCAGGTGTACCGCGGCTCGATGATGAGCGAGTTCCCCAACCTCTTCCTCTGCATGGGTCCCAACACGGGCACCGGGCACTTCTCGTACATCTTCACTGCCGAGTGCGTCACGCGCTTCGCCATCCGCGTCATGGCGCCCATCCTCAAGGCGCCGCGCCCGACGGTCTTCGACTCCAAGGCGCCCGGCGCGCGCCGCAGCCCGTCCGTCAACATCACGCGGCAGAAGGAGATCGAGGAGCAGGTGTGGATCCAGTCGACGAGCCAGAACATGGTCTACTCGTTCAACTGGTGCGTGCAGTGCGACTCGGGCCTGCGACGGGTGCTGACCTTCGCGCAGCGGCTCGTGGTACGTCGACCCCGACTCGGGCCGCGTGGCTGCCGTCTACCCGAGCTGTGAGTGCCGTTCACGCGCCCTCTCGGCTCGCCACTGACGCGCTGCGCAGTCCAAACGATGTTCTGGCTGCGCTCGGCGATGCCGATGTACAACGACTTTGTGTACAAGGGCATCCGCGCGCCCGGCGGCATCCTCACGCGCATCCGCCAGGGCCTCGGCATCGGCGGCACCCCCATCCCGACGCGCGAGCAGATGGTCAAGTTCAAGCAGGGCGCCTACGTCGTCGGGCAGCCCAAGGTGCGCCAGGAGGAGGCCAAGCAGATCAAGTCCGGCCCGGGCCACTGAGCGCCGGCCCGGCACAGGCGCCTGCAGCGGCAGTCGCCGATCCTCACGAGCGCCTCGAGCGCGCCGCAGCGTCGGCGGCGGCAGCGAGAGGCGCCGCAATCCCCCCTCGTGCTCCATCTCTTGTACTGTCTCGTCCTGCTCTCATCCCCTGCATTGCTATACACTCGCATCAGGCTTGGCGTTGCACAGGCACCGTCCTAGCGACAAGCTGCACATTTGTGAATTGCCACGGGCCCTGCATGGAGGGTATGTGAGGGCGGCGCGAGGAGGAGCCGGTGAGGCGAGGTATATATGAGAGATCGTCGGAACGCTGGAATGGCGGGCCCATGTCGTGCGCCCCAGTCACGAAGCTTGGCGAATGGCTGCGGCCCTCGAGGCCTCTTGCGACTTCGGGAGCGAGAGAGATTTATTACGCAGCGACGGCTTCCTCCAGTTGCTCAATCGTGCGCTCCAGCTCCGCATTCTTGCCCTCGATCCACTTGAGCAGATCGACGGCCTGGAAGAGGACGGCGCTTTTGCTGCCCGCGCCGCCGCCTGCACTGCCGCCTCTGCCTCTTCCTTTGCCTCTGCCTCTGCCCGGCTGCGTTCTCCTCGCCCGTGCCTTTTTCCGCTTTGCCCTGCTCACTTCGTCGTCCTCGCTCGGGCGCACGTCTTCTTCGCTGCGATCGTCGAGGCCCTCGTCTTCGATGCCCGTGCCTGCGCCGCTCGCCAGGCCCAGGCCGCGCGCGCCAAAGGCTCGGCCAGCCTCGAGCAGCACGACGAGATCCTTGAAGCTCTCGCGGATGTGGTTGCGCCGCCGTTGCTCGGAGAGAATGTGGTTGGCGCGCTTCTCGCCCTCGGAGAGCAGCTCACGCTTGGCGGCGGCAGCTGCTTCTTCTGCTGCGAGTGCTTCTGTTGCAGCAGCAGCGGCGGCGGCGGCGGCGGCGGCGGAGGAATGAGAGGAGACGTCGGCGTGCGGAGTACTGCCTCCTCGCTCCGAGTCGTCCGAGTCCTCCTTCTCCTCCACCGTGGCTTGCTGCGCCGCCACGCCCTTCTTGCCGCGCGATGCTGCCTTCTTGCCGGCCTTTTTGCGCTCACCCTTTGGCGTACGCTGCTCCTCCTCATCGACCTGCATCTCGCCGCCGCCGCCGCCGCCTCCCACATTGCCGCTGCGTTTCCTGCCCTTCTCCCACGCCTCTTCGCCGCGTTCTTCGCCCCTCGTGCGCTGCTTGCCAGTGGGCGAGAGTGCCGCAGCAGCGGCGGCCGTGGCGTCTGCAAAGGAAGGCATGTTGGACGGCAGCGCCGGGTTGAAGTCCCAGGAAGACTCGAAGTTTTCGAGAAAGTTGGAGAGAAACGTCGCTTCGTTGGCGTCGAAGAGGGAGCTGGAGGCGCCAGCGGCGGCGCCGTGATGCGACGCAACATCGTGCACGCCGCCGATGCCGACGGCGCTGAAGCCAGAGGGAGACGGAGCGAGGGCGGGATCGGAGCGAGAGAGGAGGTCGTCGAAGGAGAAGAGCGGCGCTTGAGAAGGGAGCGGAGGAGGAGTCGGCGCGAGGGAGAAGAACGCAGACGAGGCGAAGAGCGAGGAAGACGGGCCGGGCGACGAGACGCCTGCGCCCCCTGTGCCGCCGCCGACGCTGCTGCCTTGCGTCGAGGCGGCGCGAGAGAGTGCGTACGACATGGGCTCGTCGCTGCTGAATGGGCGCGCGGCGAGTGTCGCTGCGCTGCTGCTGCTGGCAGAGAAGATGCCGAGCGGATCGTGCGCCGGATGGGCATCGCCGGCAGGGTGGCTGCTCGAGCTCGCCGCGCCGCCGCCGCCGCCGAGCGACGCCAGCAGGCCCTGGAACTCGCCGTCGTGCTGCAGCATGCGCAAGTCGGTGTGCTGCAGGTCGTGTGGCAGGTCGAGCGAGAAGTGAAAGTCTGTGCGAGGCGATGAGCTGCTGCTGCCGGCGCCACGAAGAGGCCAGGCGCGCGGCGCGCCGACTGACCCTCGTACGGCACGGGCATGGCCGGCAGGCCAAACGCCTCGGCGGCGCCGTGCGTGGTGAATGCGTCGGCGGCGGCATGCGGCGCGGCGGTGCGCGACGAGGAGGACGAGGAGGACTGCGAACTGCCGGGCGCGGCGGCGGCGCCGGCGGAGTGGATGAGCGCGGCGTCGAGCGAGGGCGAGGCGTGCAGCGCCATGGCGGGGCGGGGCAGAGCGAGGTGGTGGTGGTGGTGGTGGTGGTGGTGGTGGTGCGTCGCCAACATCGGGGCAGTGCAAGCGGTGCCGGTGCGCCGCCGACGTCGGCGTCGGAACGCGGGGCAGAGAGCTCAAGTGCAGCGCGCCGCGCGCGGCGGCGCGGTGCCTGGCTGCACGTCACGAGAGCGCTGCCTTGCGCCCGTTTACCCCGCGCCGCCCGCCGCCCACCGATGCCGCCGCCGAGGACGCGGGCACACGGCCTCGAAGCGCGCTCGGCGACATGCGAGAGCGAGACCGCGCAACAGGGGCGAAAGCCGGCACAGCAGAGGGCGGCACGGCGGCAAGAGAGCTCAAAGGCAGCAGCGACGCTCAGCCACACTCCGCCTCGACTCCGCTGCCCTGAGTAAGATAGTCGAGAGCAGCACCAGCAGCGACCTTGCCATGCTCAAGGCTGCCCTCGGCCTGCGCTCTGGCAACTCGCACCTCGCGGGTCTGCACGTCGCCTGCGCCCCGCGCCCCCACGTCTTGTTTGCGCCTCTGACGGCATCCGCAGCGTCGTCGCACAGCAATGCCTGGTGCTGGCTCCCCCCGCGGTACTCCCGCGCCGCAGCAGCAGAGACATGGAGAGAAGACATGTGCCCGTCGCGCCGCCCGACTTTCAAGCACGCGCTCCCTTTCTTGCTCTCTCTTCTCCCCCGCCTCCGCATGGTGATGCTGAGGCGTGTCATGCCGCAGCGCGCATGTGTGCTTGCCATGCGGATGCGGATGGCGGCCGGCTGCGCTGATGCTGCCTGACGCTGTTTGTGCGTTGCCGTTGTGGCTCGTGCTCGCAGTAAGAGTGCGCTCCTCGTACCTTCGCTTGCCCGCCCCGTCTGCGCCGCTGCCGCACGGCGCCCGCTGCCTCTGCCGTCTCCAGCGCCGGGCTGCGGCTCCGCGCTGGCCTGAGCCGTCGATCCTCGGAGCGCCGTGCCGCTCTTCGCCGTGGCTGCCGTAGCCGCAGCCGCAGCATCCATCAGGTGCGGCACCCGACCTTGGCCAGCACCAGCCGGCAGCGCGTGCCCGGAGCAATCAGCGCCAATCCCCCCCCCCCCCTCTCGCCGCCGTGCGGCTCCGCAGCCGTTGCTGCCGCTGCTGCTTCCTGCGTCCCCGCCGTCGCGTGTTGCTGCCAGATGCAGAGGTCGGAGGGTAGCCAGCAAGAAGCGCAGGCAGTCGCCAGCAGCAGCACCCAGCGCAGCGGCAAAGCCACAGCTGCAGGCCGAGCAGGCACACGCAGTGTCGCCAGCGTCGCGTTGCCATGCCCAGTGCGGCCACGAGGGGATGAGCCCTCATGCGCCCATGCTCTCTCCCGCTTCTCCTCGTTTGCTCTCCTCCCACCGCAAGGCTGCGGCTGCGGGGCGGGCGGTGCGGGCGTTGCTTGCGGGCTTCGCGTGTGGCCCTTCTGCTGCTTCCCCCGTCGCTTGGCACACAGACAGACTGCCCTTTCCTGGAGCCTTGCTCACTCTTCTTCGCTGCCTCTCCTCCCCCCCGGGAGCTGCACCGCACGCCACTCAGTCAAGTGGCGACTCGACAACGGGCGTCGCAAGCGGCCATGCGCTGTCTTCTTCCCGCGTAGCCCTCTGCTGCTTCCTCCGTCCCACCTCACCCAAGCCTGTCGTTTGCCGCAGTGGACGCTCACAGAGCAGTCACTGACAGCACAGGCACTTGCTTGGCAGGCTGCGAGGGAGGAACTGTCATGTACTCGTCGAGAATGTGGAGGCTTGGTTCCGGTGTGCGATCAAGGTGATCTACCCCGCCTCCAGTCCCTCCCGCACCTCCTGCAGAAGAAGGCAAGGCCAGAACGAGAAGGGATGCACAAGGGTAAAGCGAGGCGAATGCTCCGTCGCAGCTCGCGCTTTGCCCTCCCATTCTCATTCGGCCGACGTGCCCGACTCCTAGACGACTGAGCCCCTCTTTGCCCCGATCATCTTCACGCTCTCAGAATAGACACGTCCCCTTTGCCGTCTACGACACTCCAACTTCTCCTTCTTTGCTGACCTGCCCTTTATTTCGGTGACACGTCGCTTTCCACTTCGCCGCCCCGCGCCCCTCTTCCATCTCTCGCATTCTGCTGACTGCTCGCGTGGATGCCCCTCCTCTCTTGCCCTGCCACGCTCGCTGCCATGCCGAGACACCGCATCCCAGTGAATCGTGCCTATCCATCCCTCTCGGCTTGCGCGGAGTGCCCTGCCTGCTCCGTTGCCTCGCGCACAGCCCACAGGCCAAGCTTGTAGATCGTCACGCGGCCCCATGCATCGCTCGAGCCGGAGAAGCGCAGCGCGATGTGCCGCGTCGCAGAACCTGGCGCTCGTGCGGCAGTGGCGCAGGCGCGCAAAGACGACGGAAAACTAGAGCAGAGCGGAGGCAAAGTATGAGATGCAAGGCCCGGCGAACACATCAGAGAGACCGTGTGCCCCCGCGAGAAAGGAAGGCAAGCCTAGGCTGAGAGCGCAGCGGCTGGACACCCAAAGTAGCTGTGCGCTCTGCCGCTTGCACGCAAAGCATGCCCGCGAGACATGGCTCACGACGCCTTCATCCCCTCCCGGTCACCTCCTTTGCGCAGCTCACATGCCTCCATCCCCTCGAGTCTAACTCACCGCAGGGTCTGTCCTCCATTCTCATCGCTTAACTGCCACTCTGCCATCCTTTCCCCTCTCAGCGCCTCCACATTCGACTCTCGTTGCCAGCCCACGTCCTCCTCCTCCCCCTCCTCTTCCTCGCTCTCCTCGGCCTGCTCCTCGTCGTCGCCCGGCTCGTCGCAACTCCACAGCTCCACGCTTCCCGGACAGTATCCGCCCTGCGCCTGCAGGGTCACCTGCCTCGCCTGCCGCCAGCGGAGCGGCGCCGCGAGACGGAGGTGCAGCGTGTGCGCCGGCCCAGCTGCGGAGGGCCATGCCGCATCGGCATCGCACGAGACGAGCGTCTTTGCGGCGGCGCGCGACGACGAGGCCACGACGTGCGCGCCGAGCAAGACATTGTGCAGCGGCGGCGGCGGCGGCGGCGGCGGCGGCGGCGGCGGCGACGACGAGCAAGGAGCAGCGCGGCGCGCGTCGCCCAGAGCAGAAGCAGCCATCGCCGGCGCGACGGTGGGAGTGGCGCAGAGTGCCAAGGCAGACGGGGCGGCGAGGTGAGGCGAGAATGGCGGCGCGAGAGAGGCGTGCTGCGACGGGAGCGCAGCGAGAGCGGCAGATGCAGAGAGAGAGAAGGAGACGGAAGCAGCCGGATGCCCGACACTGAGGATGCGACGCGCGAGAGAGGGTGGAGGAGGAGGAGAAGCAAGCGTGCCGCTCTGCCGCGAGTGCAGCCCACGCGCGTCTTCTCGCTGCTGCTGCTGCACCTGCGCCTGCGGCATGGCCTCCTCCTTGCGATCAGCCCTCGCCGTCGCCCCATCATGCTTCGCTTCAGCGACGGCTTCCTCCCGGCTGCGCAGCGGCAGCCCCGGGGCGTCGGCGGTAGAGAGTGGGTGCACTCACTCCGCAAACGCGCCCCGGCTTTGCCGCCCCCAAGGATCGCGCTTCCACGGCGTCGCAGCACTTGCATCGCCTCCCGTTGTCTCGCTCTCCTCCACTCCCCTCCGCTGCTGATTGGCTCGTCAGCGGGCTCTGCGGCGGTCGAGGCCCAAGTAGAGGCCACGTCAGGCGCGGCGGGCGTGGGAGCAGCGCGCTATGGCGCGGCTGCTCCACTTGGCGGGCCGCCCCGTGCGGCTCAGCGCCGCCGCGCGCCTTGCTCCGCACCACCAGCACTCCACGCTCCCTGCGTCCACCTCGCCGCCCAGCGTCGCGCCGTCCATGTCTCCGTCCTCTGCGGCGCCACAGCCCGCCACGGCGGTGCCCCTTGCGCCCGCGCCGCCGTCGCCCGACATGGCACCGCGCGCGCCCGGCACGCCCTCGTCGCTGCGCTCGCACATCTCCCTGCAGCCCACGCACTCGCAGCGCAGCCGCAGCGGCCACGCATCCGGCAGCACCAGCCACGCTGCATCGGCGCCGTCGCAGCCCCAGGGCAATGCGCACTTCGACGACGACGACGACAGCGACACCGAGTCACTCGTCACGCCGCTCCTCAGGCGCCGCATCGACGTGGGCGCCGCCGCGGCATGGGACGACTCGGAGGATGACGCAGACTCCTCCGACGACGACGACGCAGGCGCGCCACTCGCCCTCTCGCGCCATCGCGACGCACGGCGGCGGCGGCGACGCCAGGGCGGCGTGCTCGCCAGCAGCGGCGGCGGCGCCTCGTCGGCTGCCGCAGCAGCGGCGGCGGCGCCCGAGTCGTACTTGACGACGCTGCGCCGCTCGTCGCGCGCGCGCCAATGGCTGCGGCTGCTGACGCACTCGTCGGCCGCGCACGCCTCGCTCTCGGCGCCGCACGTCTCGGCCAATCTCTTTGCGGCGTCGCTGCATCCCGGCGTGCTGCTCTCCATGCCCCACTACTTTGCCCGCACCGGCACGCTGGCCGGCGCCGCGGGCCTGCTCGGCGTCGCCATCCTCGGCGGCGCCGGCGGCGGCCTGTGGGTCGTGCTCAGCCGCTATGTCAAGGGCAAGACGGTAGAGGCCATCACGGGCGAAAGCTTTGGCAAACATACGCGCTGGAAAGGCAACGTGGGCAGAGCAGTGGCAGGCGTGCTGCTCGCCACGTACGCCACGGGCGCCGCAGTCATTGCGTACTTCGGTGAGTAAAGCCGCGCCTCCCCCCGCAAGGCACAGAGCGGCATGAGCTGAGGAGAAAGCAAACACAGCGCTCGCGGATCTGCTCTTGCAACTCCTCTTCCACTACTCGCCGCGAGGCATCCCACTGCATGATCGCGCCTTTGTGACGTTCGTCATTGGAGGTCTCCTCGTACGTTCCCCCCCTTTCCCCTCGCCCCCCTCTCCTCCAGCTCACACACAGCTCATGCGCCGATTTCTGCACAGACCACACCACTCGTCATCTTTCCCCTCGCCAAGCGCACGCTCATTCGTCTCTCCACCAACCTGGCCGTTCTGCTCTATCCCGTGCTCCTCGCCATCGTTCTCGCAAAGGTCTACACACTTCCTCCCTGCTCCGAACCGACGTCTCCTCCTCCCCTCGACGTCCTGCCCAACTTCAATCCTCTCCACTCACCCTCCGTCTGGGCCCCCTTCTCTCTCCTCCCGCTCCTGACTCTCTCGAGCAGCCCGCTGCAGATCCTGGCGCACAACCGCAGCCTGAGGAGAAGAGGGCTGAGTGGAAGTAACGTCAAGGCCTTCTTTGGAGCGCAGGCGGGACAGGTACTGTTTGTAGTGGGAGTCAGCATCGCGTTTGGCCTGGGGGCGGGGACGAAGGGAATTGGGGAACGGTTGAGAGAAGAGATTCACCGTGAGTGCGCCCCCCCCCGGCCCCCTCTCCTTCCTTCTTCCTCTTTCTTCCGCGCTTCTCCTCTCCTTGCTAATCACGCCTGCTCGGTGGGGGATGGCAGCCAATCTCTTCGCCTCGCTGCCGCGCGACGATCATCTTCTCAACCTCGCACGCGCCTTGTTCATCCTCGTACTGGCCTCTCATCTCGCGCTGTGTCTCGCCACGGCTCGTTCCTCCTGGGGTCGCCTTCTCTGGCTCTTCAACATGAACCCTCTACGTCGTCGACTTGCTCTGCCTGCCACTTCTGCCGGCACCTCGGCGCCCGTCTCCGCAGCAGCAGCCACGCCTGCATCTCGCACCGGCACCGGCCGCGCCGTCAGCGGGCGCAAGGCGCCGCGCGCATGGCCCAAGCTGGCGCGCAACGCCCTGGCAGGGCTCCTGCTCTGGGCCATCACCGCTGCCTCGGCCTACTTTTCCGGCGTCGGCGGCTTGCGCCGCAGCGAAAAGCAGGGCGAGGAGGCTCGCTTTTTGCGCGGCAGCGAAGTGCTGGGCCTGATGGGCGCCGCAGTGGGCTTCGTTTGGTGCGTATCTCTCAGCCCCCCTCCTGTCTCCCGCGCGCGCCTGTTCAAGACTCCCGCCGAGAGAAGCAGCTGGGCTCACCCCAACCTCCTCCTTCCTTCGCCTTGCACCGGAACACCAAAATCGGGGCAGTCCGGCGCTGGTTTGGATCATCATCTTCTTCCTGCGGCAGCCGCGCGCCATCTTGCCGCCGTTTGCGACGGCGCTGGGCCGCAGCGCCTCGGCATGGCTCATGGCGCCCCTGGGCATGCTTGCTCGTCGTCGCCCTGCCGCCGCCTCCTTCTCTGCTGCCGCCGCGGAAAGGGCTCCGCTACTAGGCGGCGCCTCTGTCCCTCCGGCGCCGAGAGCATCACTTGCGTCTCCGCAGCCGCAGCAGCAGCAGCAGCCGCACGCGCAAGAAGACGCAAGCTCGGCCAACGCTGCGCTTGCGCCTGCGCCACCGCCAGACTGGAGGCAGCAAGGCATCGCAGCACAGGCGCACAACGATGACGCCACCAGGATTCTGCTGGCGCGAAAGGAGAGACAGATGCAGAAGCGGACGCGCAGGTGAGTTTCTTTTGTCGCGACCCCTTCCCCCCTGGCACAGCATGCACGTCTGACCCTGAGCTCTCTCTCCACGCCACACACAGCCGACGCCTGTCTCAAGACATCATTGTCCTCGTGGGCATCCTGCCGCTGGGCGTGGCGCTGATTGTGCTTGGCTCCTTGGAGCTCAGTCACGGAGGCTGGTGATGTCTTCTCAGGCCTCTCTCGAAGCGGCGCACGCAATGGCATCCCCCCCCCCCCCTCTTTGTGCTGCGCCAGAACTACGAGGGCGGACGCGCAGGGAGATGACACACGAGGAGAAGATGGAAGGCCACGTGCGAAGGGGTGCCGCTGGGAGTAGAAGCAGGTGCAAGAGTGCCCCGCCCTGCTTCAGCTGCGCGACGGGCAGGGCAAAGGACATCAGGATGCGCCCGCCGCTGCCGGACCCTGTTGTGCGCATCTCGCTCGGAATGCCGCGCGACATGCTGGGCGTAGAAGCGCGATGTGTCAGACCGTGGGGTATCGTGACAAGGAGGGAGACACAGGAGGATCAGGAGACAGGAGGAGGAGGAGGTGGTGGTGGTGGTGGAGGAGGAGGCGGAGGTGGAACAACGGCAGAGGGCAGAGAGGGGCAGGCAGTGCAGGAGCGCAGACGCTCGTGTGTGCGTGCCTGTCTACGTCTTGCAAGCAGGTCCGGCGTCGTGGAAGAGCGCGGCGGCCAAAGGCTTGGAGGGCGGCAGTAGCTGCTGCTGGGTCAGGCTGCTGCCCGCAGCGGCCGGGGCCTTCTCCGGCCAGCGGGTCTCGCGGTGGCTTGTACTGCCTGCGCTTGCGCACGCGCCCGGCCTTGCGCTCTTCCGTCTTGCGCTGGCGCTCTCCCGTCACTGGTGAGGCGTGCTGCGGATCGGTGCAGAGAGCGAAGAGCTTGCTGAGAGACGGGTGATCTTTGTCGTCCGCCTTGAGCGTGCCGCAGAGGTTGTCGAGCAGCTGCTTGGCGGCCGGCGGCCACGAAGAAGGCTGGATGGCCTCGCCGAGCTGCTCGGCCTCAAGCTCAGCCTCGAGCTCAGCCTCGCTCTCAGACTCGTCGAGCAGCTGGGCCTCAAGCTCGGCCTCGGTGAGCTGCCTCATGGTTCGCCGTTTGGCACGCGTCTGTGCGCCGTCGCGCTCGCCCAGGCACGGCCGGCGTCCTGCCATCCGCACCGCCGCGCCTCCACATGCGTGTGCTCCCAGAGCAGGCGCCCGAGCGGAACCTCGCCGGCGGGCGCGAGAAGCAGCCGGCGCCGGCAAGCGGCGCCTCTCCGCTGAGCAGGAGTGGACCGCAAAAAAGGAAAGGGTGCTGCACCCTGCCGATGAGCTCACCAACGCACCTCCCGCGGCCGCGGATGGACGCCGCACCCGCGCGAGCAGGCAAGCCACGCGGTGCAGGAGCGATCATAGGATGTCAGCCGGACCGCGGCTCCCGCGCACGGGGCGCTGACGTGAGGGTCCTGCGCGGGTACAAGAGACGGGCAGCACGCAGCATGCGGCACTTGCTCTCCACCCAGCACCACCCCCACCCTCTGACGCCTAGCCCACCATGCTGCAGCCCGGCCTGCGCGCCCTCATCCCCACCATCGGCTTCATCTTTGCCGGCCAGACGCTCGCCGCCGTGCCGGCCGTGGCGTACAAGACGGAGAAGGTGCGTGCAGGGGCGCAGAGCCAGCGTGCAGGAAGGTGCAAGGGCGAAGCGCAGGTGCTTGCTGTGATCGACGGCGATGCGCGCGACATCTGCCAGACGCCGTGCTCGCCTGTGCGAGGGCGCCGCTTCAGGACCAGCCTTGCTGACACGCGCCGCAGTACTACGACCTCTCCGGCTCGCTCGGCTTCATCTCCGCCGTCGGATTCTCGCTGTACGGCCCGGCGCTGGTGGACAAGTACCTGCGCGGCAACACGCTGGCTGTGCTGCCGAGCATGCGCTCGTTTGCGCCGCGCCAGCTCATCGCGTCCGGCCTCGTGCTGCTCTGGGCCGCGCGCCTCGGCAGCTTCCTCTACCAGCGCATCCAGAAGAGCGGCAAGGACGAACGCTTCGACGAGATCAAGCAGAGCCCGCCCAAGTTCTTCGGCGCGTGGTGCGTGGCGTGTGCATGTGTGCGGCAGTCTAGTGCCGCGGCTCACTCTGCTCGCCAGGATGATGCAGGCCGCGTGGATTTCGCTCACCGCCATGCCCGTCTGGCTCATCAACGCCGTGCCCGCACGCATGCACCCGGCGCTCGGCGCCTGGGACGCCGTGGCGCTCGGCATCTGGGCCGCCGGCTGGGGCCTCGAGGTGGTGGCCGACCGCCAGAAGAGCGCGTGGCGCGCGCGCAAGGACGCCGGCGAGCACAATGAGGGCTTCAACCACGACGGCGTGTGGACGTGGAGCCGGCACCCCAAGTGAGTTGGTGTGAGAGGCTGCATGTCGCAGCGCCCCCTGACACCGCTCTCCAGCTACGCGGGCGAGGTGACGCTCTGGTTCGGCCAGTTCCTGCTCGCCGCCGGCGTGCTGCGCGGCGCCAGCGCTGCGGGCTTCGGCCCGTGGAGCGTCGGCCTGGCGGCCTCGTCGCCGGTGCTCGAGTACTGCCTGATCCGCTTCATCTCGGGCGTGCCGATGGTCGAGAAGAACATGGACAAGAAGCTCAAGGACGATGCCGAGTACAAGAAGTACAAGGCCACCGTGCCGTGCTTCTGGCCCTTCATCGGCCCCGTCAACTAGGCGTCTCGCTGCACAATACCACGTCCGCGCACACGACCCCTGTACAAAAGAAATGCATCGCAGCAGCGTCATGACCACACCATACACAGGCTAGGCGGGGTACTTTGCCGCCAGCGCGTCGTACTGCTCCTGGCTCAGCGGCAGCACGGAGCCGTGGCGCTGGCCGTAGGGGAAGTTGGGCGCGTCGGGCTTGCTCCACGGGCCGGTCTGGATGTCCGACGTGCCGTACACCTCGTACGAGCCCTGGCCCGAGTAGTTGTCGAGCAGCAGGTGCACGAGGCCCGGCGTGAGGTTGTCGGCGTACGACGCGGGGCCCTCGCGCACGTCGGGCGTGACGAGGCCGTGGAAGGTCCACGTGGGCGAGAGGATGTTGTTGTCGCTCGTCGTCTCCCACCACACGTTGTTTGCCGTGTTGTTCTTGATGAAGCGCGCAAAGCCGCCGTCCTCCAGCTTCTGGAACTCCTGGTCGATCATGCCCCACGGCTGCGTGGGGATGTAGTCGGCGGGCGTGCTGAACGTGACAAAGTCGCTGGTGCGCGAGTAACGGATCGTCGACGCCTTGACGACGTCGCCCGTGTGCTCCGTGTCGCTGGAGGCGTAGAAGCGGCTGCTCCAGAACACGATGCACTCGCTCGCGCCCGGCTCGCAGTACGCCGACGGCGCCCACACATAGCCGGCCTCGGGCGTCTCGAGCTCGGCGAGGCGCTGGGAGAAAGAGTGTGAGCCTGGTGTGCGGCACCTCGTCACGCCGGGCTACTCACGTCGGAGCTCCAGTTGACGAGGTCGTCGGACTCCCAGATGATGATGGAGCGCGAGCCGACGCGCTGGGCCTCGCCGAAGTTGGCTGTGGCGGGAGTCAGTGCTCTGCATGGCGTGACCTGCCGCCGCCCCACGCACTCTTGCCAATGTCGAGGTCCGTGGCGAGCATGTAGTACTTGCCGTCCTTGGCGGCGAGGTAGGGGTCGCGCGCGCCCTTGGTGCCCACCGTCGGGTTCAGGATCGGGTTGCCGCCGTTGAGGGCGCGGAAGGAGAGCGCGTCGTTGCCGTTGCTCAGGTACTGGTACACCGACGGCACGTTGCCGAGGAACGACGAGATGAGGTAGCCCACCTTGCTCGAGTCGGCACGCTTCGACTCGACGGGCGCGCCGGCGACGAGCATCGCGCCGAGGGCGAGGGCGGAGGCGAGGAGAGAGGTGCGCATGTTGACAGTGGAGTGGGTGATGGGATGGGGCAACCCAGGCGGCTGCTCGGCCAGCTTATATGTGTTCAGCAGGGGCCTGTCCGGCGGCCCTGAGGACGAGCATGCTTCCCCGCACCCGCCGCCATGGCCTCGTCACCAACGCGGCCCCAGATCAGATCTCGCCGGCGGAGACAGAATGCCGGCGCTTGTGCCGAACGCTCCGCCTCGGCGCTGCGGCTCCGCACCCTTGCAAAGTGCAGACAGCGACGGAGGGCAGCGACGGCAGCTCGAGGCCGACTTTGCCGGCCATGTGCGGCGCTAGGCGGCCTGGCGTGACGACAAGGCACAGCTACGGCGGGCGCCGACGGAGCTATTTGCGCGCCCTGCCGACGCTGTTGCGCAGGCAGAGCGACGTCTCTGCAGCATCTGATGATGGTGAGCACACCAAAGTGCGGTGCCCCGCAGTCCCGGCGAGGCTAACGACACGCCCGCGCAAACAGCGTTCGCCCTAGCGCCGGCTTTCTCGGGTGCGCGCGCGTCATCGTCGGCGAGCTCGCCGGGCGTGGCGACCGGCGCACCGAGAGGAACGCTGCGGCATCAAGAGCACCGCCGGAGACAAGTATGCTCGCTGCACCGTGGCGATGGCGTGCAGCCGACGGCCCGCTCCCAAGGGGTGCGGAGATCAGCGGTGCGCCGCCGTAGCGCGACAGGCCTCTCTTGGCACCCTGAGATCTGCGGCGGGCCGTGCCGTGCCGTGTCCCCCGGTCACCCGAGACAGCGAGCTGCGGGGGTGCAGGGGGCTGTCAGATCGACGGACGCGGCGGCATCGCCAGGGCATGGACGGAGCAGGTGGACGCGAGAGCATTCGTTTGAGCACGCCGGCGAGGCTCGAGAGCATGGCCTGGCGGAGGCAGTAAGCTAAGGCGTCACGCCCTTGCCCTTCTGCTCTGCTTCTGCGCCTGCAGTCAGCAACAAAATCTGCCACCTAGCTCGGCAGGATGAACGGTGGTCGTGGTGATGAGTATCGCTTGAGGCTCAAAGTATGTGGCAGCAGTGCCCGGGACGCCTCTGTGCGCGGGGGCATGAGCGGCTCAGCAGCGGCACGCAGCAGCCTGCAGAGAGCACGACGGGCGCCTGCGACAGCGTGGGACCAATCCTCATTCTCCGTACACCACATGGCGGATAGCGTCCATCTCGCCGTCCTCGAGCTCTTCGGAGCCCAGCACGGCTGCGACTGTCTGGCGCATGTGCTCCTCGTTGGTCGTGCCGCAAAGCACCGAGGTGGAGAGGCCGCCGACGCCCATGCCCTGCGCAACGAAGCGCAGCACGACCATCTGCGGCGTCCATTCCAGGCGCTCGGCCGCACTGCGCACTGCCGGCGCGCTCAGCAGGCCGCCGTTGCCGGAGAGGATCCAGAACGGCTGGTACGTGACTGCTGCGCCGCCGCTGTTGGGCGACAGCACGGGCGAGAGCGAGGCGAGCAGAGAGACGTCGTGTCCCGTCGACGCATGCCAGCGGTTCTGCAGCAGCGCAGGCCGCCGCTCTGAGCCCTGAATGCTGAGCAGCGCATCCCAGATGCGAGCATCGTAGATGTCTGCAAAGGTGTCAGCGCGCGACAGCTAGGTATACCGCACACGATACTCACTGCTGAAGCCGACGTTGCGGACCCAGCCCTCATCGCGCAGCCGCTGCATCTCGTCCCAGACCTCGAGCGTATCCTCCAGAGATCCAAGCGGCGAGTGCAGCAGCAGCGCGTCGAGCCACGGCCGTGTCAGCGGCTCATCCGCCGAGGCCGTCGCCTTGTCGCCGTCCACGGCGCTCTCGGCACGTGGACTAGACGCAGAGCTTGCGGCCGCCGCGCCGGCATCGGCGTCAGACGACGGCTCGACTGCGCGCTGCTTGCCCTTGCCGCTGGCATCGACGGGCGCCTGCGGTGCCGGTGCTGCTGCGCCCATGCCGCTGAAGTCCCAGCGCGAGCCGTGGTGCAGGGCACGCAGCGAGGCGAGGGCGCTGGCGCGCACCTGCTCGCGCACGGGCGCCTCGGGGCTGTACGGCAGCGGCTGCGAGCGGTCCTGCCCGGCGATGGGCGTGTACCTGGGCAACGGGTGTGAGCACCGGACAGGGTGCCGGGTGGTCGCGACAGCGCCTCCACGACTGCCCGTCCTTGCCAGTCCCTGCCAGTCCCTGCGGCGGTGTGTTCTCCGCCAGATCCTCTGGCAGTGTCACTGCTCTGCCGTCGCTGCCAGTCGCTGCAACACCTGCTGCCACCCATTGCCACGCCGCCAGCCGCGGCCACTTACTTGGTCTGCACCCACACCTCGTCTCGCCGCACCAGGCGCGCCCGCTCGGCGGCCAGCAGTGCCTCTCCCACAGCGTGCTCGCGGTAGTGCTTGCGCTGCGCGGCCGTGTCGATGCCGCGGAAGCCGGCGGCGAGCGCCTGCAGCACGAGGCTGCTCGTCGCGCCCTCCTTCCACGCCGTGCCGTACACGAGCGGCGGACAGGCGGCCAGCATGGCTGCCGGTCGCAGGGGGCGCCAGAGGAGTGTGGGACGCGTGGACTACAGAGGCAGGCAGTGGTGTGAGGCCGGCGAAGATGGCCAGGCCGGCACGCGCAGGAGAGTGACAATGGTGAGCGATGGCAGACGGGTGGTGGTGGTTGCAACGCAGGCTGCACTCGCCCGCTCGGCGCTATGTGCCTCTCGGGCGCCTGCGACATGGGAACAGCGCGTAGAGCGAGGAGGCGGCGGCGGCGACTCACAGCACGCCACAGCCGCCCGCCGTGGCGCGCGGTGGAGGCGACGCACGCGCGCGTGTGGGGCTTACGCAGCTTGGCTCTGCTCCACCATCACCGCAGCACTGCCCGCATCACCGCCGCCCACAGCTCACGCTCCACGCACCACGCTTCATCCGCCTGCACTGCAGCTCCCCTCGGCGCATCCGAGTCCGAGAGAGAGAGAGGTCTTGCTTCTCGACCGTCACGCACACGCCTGGCGGCATCTCTCGCCAGCCTCCGCCTCAGCCTCTCGTCTCCCGCCGCTCCACTGAGCTTTCTCGCTCCTCGCTCCTCGCTTCTCGCTCTTTGAGGGCTCGCTCTTCGCTCACTCCGCCAAGAGCGCTCCTCTTGCGCACGCACGTCTCTTGCACACACGCCGCTCGAGAGTGAGGCCAGCTGCCCTTTCGACCAGCGACGTCTCGCACGCCCTGCAACGGTCAGGCCCACAGCTCGCCTTGGCGCGCGCCGAGTCTGGCTGCGCTTTTTCGAGCTTTGCTGCATTCGGTCCTGCGTCCGGGTCTGGCATCGATCAGCGAACGCTCCATCGCCTCTCTCCGCCGCACCAAGGCGAGCTTCGTCCCAAGAGCGACCTTTCGCTCTCCGCTCTTACGCCACCTGCGCCACCTCTGCGCCACCTCAGATCATTCTGAGTCTGGTCTTCGCCGCTCGGCTTCATTCCTGCGCTAGCTAGCCCACGAGAGAGAAAGAGGAGCGATGACGCTGCAGTGGGACTACCTGACAAAGGTGAGTTTCCGAGTCTCCAGTCTTGCTTGCGAGCCTGCGACTCCGGCCCTTGGACACGAAGCGTGTGTGCAAGCGAGAATGCGCATCGCTTGCGTCTCTTCTCTCTGCCCATCTCTTGTGCGCACGCTTCTGCGTCTTTCTTTTCTCTTCCGACGCCGCCCATCTATCCTCTCCTGCCGCGCGAGCGAGAGAGCGAGCGAGACGTACTCCGTCTCACAAAGGACGGTCGGTCGCGATGTCGAATCACCAGTTTCTCTATGTCTCTCTCTTCTGCACCCGCGTCGTACCCTCTCATCTCTCCATCGGCTTGCTCGCTCACATGCCGTGCAGTTCATCCTCGTCGGCGACTCATCCGTCGGCAAGTCATCGATTCTCATCCGGCTCACCGAGCAGCGCTGGCTATCAGCCACGGACCCGACGATCGGCGTCGAGTTTGGCACGCACACTGTCACCCTTGCGAGTGGCGAAAGAGTCAAAAATCAGATTTGGGACACATGTGGTAGCGAATCCTTCCGTTCCGTGAGTTCTGCGCTCTCCCACGCGGACACGGCTGCGCAGAGAGAAGCAGCAAGCTGACAGCAAGGCGCAGATCACTCAATCCTACTACCGAGGCGCAGCAGGAGCGCTGATCGTCTACAACATCGCATCACGTCCTTCCTTCGAACATGTCGCCGGCTGGCTGCGCGATGTGCGAGGCCTAGCAGAAGAGGATGTCACCGTCTTGTTGGTGGGCAACATGAGCGACCTGGCCGATGAGGGCGATGGCGAACGGAGAGCTGTGAGCAAGGAGGAGGGTCAGAAGCTGGCGGATGATGAAGGGTGCGTTCTTCTTCTCGCTTTCTCTCTCTCTCTCTCTCTCTCTGCGCCTGACACGAGCTGATCTCCTCACCTCGCTTCCCACGCGCCACAGCTTGCTCTTCATCGAGACCTCGGCTCGCACGGGAGCCAACATCGAGTCGGCCTTTGCACTTGCAGCAGAAGAGATTCACCGCAAGTTTCAGGCATCGGCTGCGGCCTCGCCTACTGCGCCGGGAGGGATGCCCGATGCGAAAGGTGGGGGATTGATGAAGCGAGGCGGAAGAAGCGCGGTGAGACAGGTCACGCAAGGCGAGGTGCAGCTGGAGGGAACGACGACGGCGGCGGCGAAGGGCTGCTGCACCATCGTCTGAGCCTCGTGAAGAGGGAGAGGCGCGCAATGCAAATCGTCACCTGCTTCCTTTGCTCCAGTCACGCCCGCTTGATCGTTCTGAGACGTGAGACGGGCCCGGGCAGGCGTAGAGGTGTCGCTCTGGACGAGGCGAGGAGCGTGCTCGAGCATGGTGCGCGGCGGCCGCGGTGGCCAGTTGCGCCGACGATGACGAGCTCGCCAGCGCATCAGCTTCGCTCGGCAAGTCTCGCACGGTCTTACCAGAGCGAGCTCGTGGGCGTGCGGCTTGCTGTGCGGCTCGCCGAGCAGCTGCAGTGCGCTTCGGCCACGGTCTACGTCGACAGCCAGGCTGCTCTGTTGGCGCTCAGGGGGAGGCCACAGCAGCGTTCAGCGGGAGTTGCTCGCATCGGCGGTGCACTTCAAGGTGCGTTGGGTGACGGCGCATGTTGGGGTGGCCGGGAACGAGCTCGCAGACGTGCGAGCGAAGTCCGCAGCCGCCCGCCGGAAGGACACTTCGGTGCCCAGGCCGACGGCAGCACTTGAAACAGAAACGTGGAGAGGGTTAGGGTTTTGCACGTGCTCTATGCCTGCCGGAAGCCTGCTGTCCTCGCCACTCAGCGATAAGACTTTGAACAGATGCACTTCAGACGTGCGTGTAGCAGCAAGCGAGAGGAACAGAGAGAGACAGTGGGGCGCCGGCCAGGCAGAGGTGCACTGGCCGCAGCGGTGAATCTGGGAGAGAGGCAAGCAGGTCTGGGGGTGAGGGTAAGTGAGGGCAGCGCGAGGAAGAGAACGCCGCCGGTGAGGCGGGGTATGGGAAAGGTGTGGGTAATGTGCGATGGGATGGATGGGCGCTTTGTCGACGGCTCAGCAGCGCGCTTCGAGGCTGTTGCCGTCGCGGCGCACCGGGCAGTTCTTGACAGGCACGAACTTGACCGAGTCGATGAGCATCGTGGCGCTGGAGCCCGCGGTGCTGCAAGTGAAGAAGAAGTTAATCTTGCTGATCTTGCTCACGTCGCTGATCGTCCTGGTGTAGGTGCTCCACGCCTGATTCATGTTGAAGTTCATGGTTGTCGGGCTGGACACTGCGTTTGAGTTCCACGACATTGCAAACGAACAAGCAGCGGCGCCGCCGGTGGCGGTCCCGCCGTTGTAGCTGACAATCTTGTAGGACAGCTTCACGTCGTACTTGCTGTAGCCGTCCGAGCCGTCGAGCGGGTAGCGCGCCGGCAGCACAATCTCCTGCGACATCACCGCCCCGCTGTCGGAGGAGGAAGCGGACAGCTGGGCATAGTGCAGGCCGTCGTTGGCAGTCTTGTCGGCGTTGCTCAGAGTCGTGCCGCTGGCCACCCATGGCGTGAGATCAGCGGCCTCAAATCGGCCATTACGAGCCGCGCTGAACAGCTCCTTGTGCGGCTTGAACTGCACCTGGTCGACGAAGACAGTTGCTGTGGTAGCGTAGTCGCATTCCAGACCGATGGTGATGACCTTGATCAACCCGCCGTCCTCGCTCTCGATGGGGCCACTGAAGTCAATCCAGCCGTTGAACGCATTTCCAAAGGCGTATTCCATGATCGGGGTCCTTGTCCAGCCACCGTCTTGGGAGAAGTAGAGGTGGCACTTGCCGTTGGAGTTGCCGGTGTTTGCAAAGTCCCTTGCTCGCCACTTAAGCGAGACATCGTAGCCATAGTAGCCATCATACAGCGCCCGCGCAGGCATCACGAGTTGCTGAGAGGCTTTGCCGCCTGACTGGAGCCACAGGTACCTCTGGCCATATTGCGGCTCCTCGATGGCGACAGAGGCTTGGCCATCGAAGCTCCAGTAGGGACTGCCGCTCTCAAAGTTGCCGTTGCGCGCAACATCCGTTGGCTCGATCTTGGGCGGCGTGTACATCTTCGGCGCAAACTTCACCTGGTCGATGTTCACCGTTGCCGAGGTGCCGGACGCGCAAACTACGTCAATCGTGATAAGCTTGACAAACGCGTCGTCGTTTGTGACTTCCTTGCTGAGGGTAAGCCATGTGCTGGCCGTGTTGAAGTCGTAGATCGTGTTGTCGATCCGCGCGCCACCGTCGTTGGACATGCCAATCGAGCAGGCCCCGCCGCCGCTGATGCTTGTCACGCGCCACTGGAAGGAAACCATGTACTGGTTGTATCCGTCGTAAAGTGACCTGCGGGGCATCTCGATGCGCTGGCTAATTGACTCGCCGCCCTGGAGACTGGCGTATTGCTCGCCATAGTTTGAGTTGACCGTGCCGATGTCGCTCTGGCCTGTGAAGGTCCACTGCTCCTTGCCGCTCTCAAACCCGCCGTTCCGGGCGACGTCGGTCGGCTCGGACTTTGGCACCGGCGTGTACGCCTGCGGCACAAACTGGAAGCAAGAGGTCCAGCGTCAGGTGCGAAGTGTCGGAGAGAGGGCAGACAACTCACCTTGACCTGGTCAATGTACACCTTGGTGGTCGGGCCTGGGTCGCACGCCGTGCCGATGATGATGAACTTGACAAAGTCGTCGTCGTTTGTGAAGGTGGCTTGGTAGTCGGTCCACACTCCCGCGCTCGCAAATCTGCGCTTATCGACCTCGGCGACGGGGAAGGTGTCGAAGTTGGCTACGAGCTGGCATCCGCCGCTCTGGCCGTCGAAGCTGGCGACCTTGTACTTGAACTTGACGACATATTGATTGTAGCCCTTGGGTGCGCCGTCAGGCAGCTGGATGGTCTGACCAATTGCACCCCTGGATTCGCCCTTGAGGAGCGCATACTGGGCGTCGTAGAACGAGTCCGCGGTCCCGATAGTCGCCTCGTTGCCAAACTTCCACGGGTCTTGTCCCTGCTCAAACCCGCCGTTGATGCACACATCATCTGCCATTGGCGGCTTGTAGTCGTTGGTGAGGATTTCGACGGCGTCTATGTGGACCTCAGCGGAGGCGCCGGCGTACTGGCTGCAGTCGGTGAGAATCTTGATCTTCTTGATGAAGTGCTTGGGGTCGGTGGCACGGATGCCGAAGGTCCGCCACTCCGACACTTGTCCAACAATGCTCTGCAGAGCCGTGCCCTTCTCGTCGTTGTACTGCACAGTCAGGGAGCACGCTGCTGTGCCCGGCGCACTGCCCTGATTGTACGCGGCCACGCGGAATTTGAACTTGACGTCGAACGAGTTGTAGCCAGCCACCGTTGCGCCGGCCGGGAGCTCGATGTCCTGCTCAATGGAGCCGCCTTGGCCAAAGAGCTTGGCAAACTTCTCACCCTTGAATGCGCCTGGATTGGCGTCGATCACGATGTCGGCATTGGCGTCAAACGTCCACTTCTCCTTGTTGTCTTCAAAGGAGGGGTTCTGCGCCACGCCATAGTCGGTGGTGTCCGGACCCTCCGGCAAGCCCGCCGGCACGGCGTTGATATCATCCACATGTATGGTGCCGGTGCCGCCGTCAGGGCAGTCCATGGCAATGTAGAGGAATTGAATGACGTTGTACTGGCTGACGGTCACTTTGAACTCCTTCCATTCGCTGCTGGCGCTCGGCAGGCGCACGCTTGCCGCGTCCGCAGCCTTCTGCGCGTCGACGACGGCGGCCAGGCGGCAGCCCTTTGCGCCGGCATTGGCAATCTCGGCGATGCGATACCGGAGCGTCACGGCGTAGGCTGCGACGTGGAGGGAGTCAGCACCACCGTTGCTCCGCAAGGTAAGTGCCGGACGGGGGAGGCAGGAAAGCAGGACATGATCAACTCACCGTTGGGCCTGTCGGTTCCGCGCGTCTGCAGGAGACCTCTTCTCGACGGCGGCGGGCCGCCCATATCCGTGTAGAGCGCCGGGCCCCCGTTCTGGTTTGTCGTGAGAATCGCGTAGTGCTCGCCATCCCATGCAGTGACGTCCTTCTCGCTGCGCTTAGTTTTGCCAAGGATGCTCCATGGCGCCAGGCCGTCGGGGCCTGCATTGGCGTCTTCAAAATGTCCGTTCACGATTCTGTTGTCTGTGAATGATGGGGTCAGGGGGGGATGGAAGGCGGAGGAGGGGCCAACACGTACTCGGCTCGTCGGTCGGCGGGTTAGTCTCCGTGGGCGGCGGGTCCGTGGGTGTGGTGGGGTCCGTGGGCGTGGTGGGGTCCGTGGGCGTGGTAGGGTCGGTGGGCGTGGTGGGGTCCTTTGGCGTTGTCGGCGGCGTTGTAGGGTTCGGATCCGGCGTTGTCGTCGGCGCTGCGCACTTGTGGTCCGTGCAGATGCCGGACAGGCACTATGGCGCAAAGGGTCAGCCCCGGTTGGCATCAAAAGAAGTACGGAGGGGCACGCACGCCAGCTGGCTTGTAGCAATCGGCACCGACGGGCTGCGGCACGGCGCACTTAGACTTGCCGCAGTACGTTGATGCGCACGACTTGCTTGTCTCGCACCGCTCGCCGAGCGTCAGCACGGCGCCAGCAACACAGCGCTTCTCTGAGCACTTGTTGGAGATGCACTGTGGGGCAGCACGCGCAGAGCGGCGGCGTTGGGGGTTCGCAAGCAATTGAGGAAAGGAATGCCAGGTTCACGTACGCCAATTGACTTGTAACACTTTAAACCCAGCTTCTTGCGCACGTCGCACTTGCCGCGACGGCAGTAGAGGTCCTTGGTCCCGCACTGGCTTGACTTGGTGCAGGGCCAGCCAAGGTGACGCTCGTTGCCGACAACGGCGCTGGCGTCAGCGGGGTCCGCAGGCGCGGGGAGCGCGGCAACCAGCGGCAGCGCCGCCAGGAGGAGGGGGAGGAAGCGCATGGAGGAGACGAGGAACTTGCTGAGGATCAAGGAGCAAGCGCATCTCATGGAGCGCCTTTATACGCAATGTGCTGCAGCGGCTCATGCCTCAGAAGCCGGATCACGAGAGTCCACGCTGTCTGCCATGAGAGCGACCTGCAGACATGAGCACGCCAGAGCTTGCGCCCAGCCTCCATGCCTGCTGCTTCTCCTCCAAGGGGAAGCGCTGTCTGTCCAATGGATGTCTACCCACGTCCAGCCGCAACACTGTGCAGCTGCGCACCGCTCCCGCGGGGCAGTCTTGCGTCTCAGGAGCAGGCGGGGAGCGTACGGCCCTGGAGTGCGGTCCCGCTGCCCTGGGCGAGCTGCAGCTCTCGCAGCGGGACGGTCGGAGGCGTCGCCGCGTGCGGATCGTGGATCTGAGGAATGGCAAGGACCGTCCAGATGCAGCGCAACATGTGTCAGGTGTGGGACCTCGTCTGCTGCAAGGCGTCTGCAGTGCGCCAGCCATGTCAGCGTGGGAGTGGCGGTCTGCTGCCCAGTTGTCCGGCAGCGAGCCGGGGTCCGCAGCCGCAGAACAGCCCGAGGTGAAGCAAGCAGCGAGGGAACGGCGCTGGCGTCTGCCATCGGACCGCACGCAGCACGCAGCACCTCATGTGTGGCACTGGTCCTGCAGCCAGCTGTTCACGCGCCGCTCGCTGTGGCTGGCTCAGGTCCCAGTGTCAGGGTCCCGCGCCTGCGAGGGCGGACCCAAAGGGCCGGATGCTGGATGCATGCAGTGTGGCGCTGCGCCGGCTGCAGTCTGGCGGCGTCGCAGCTACCGCCCTGAGCGGCTGGTGCCCGCTGCATGCCGCTCATGCAGGCCCGCTTCCACCGCCAGAAGCCCTCCTGCGCTGTGCGAAGCGGAGCGCCTCATGGCCGTGCCTCCGCCCTGCGGCTGCGGTGCGTGTGGCACAGCGCGTGCCTTGCACCCACGCGCTGGCGCATGCCCGATGCTGCACGCCGCGTGCGCCGCTGTGTCGGAGTCTAGTTGCCATCGTCCGCGCCGTGCGCGCGCACAGGCCTGTGCCGACGCCAAGGGGCAACGCCGACCCTCTGCGCCTCTGCGTGCTGCACGGCGCATCGATCTGCGCTTCCGCGTCCGGCGCAGCGCTGCGGCCCCGCCTGCCGTGCGCCGAAGCTCCAGCGCCCAGGAGACTTACGCGTTATGTAGGGGAACAGCTGCGCGCTCGGCGTGTGGCGCGAGTCCGAGCATGGACGCACGCGACGCGCTACTCAGGACGAGAGACCCAATAGATGGCGCTTCAGCGGCTAGCGCAGGCTGAGCGGGCGGGAGGTGTGCCAAGGCTGAGTGCCGGTCTGGCAACCGCTCTGGGCGTTCGCAGCCAGTGACCAACCTTTGATCGTCGCTGCGGACTCATGAGGTCCCGTGTCGCGTCTCAAGCGCTCCAGCACGTCTGCCGACTGCTTCACACTCGCCACCGATGCGTCGGCCCGCCTGTGTACCAAGCGACAGGCTGATACGCACATTCTGCGCGATGAGCTTTCGCCCAGCAGGGTTGACGAGACTGCGAGCGACTGTACGAGCGCACGTGGAGCGCTACAGCAGACATCACTTCAGCAAGACGCTGCACGGAGCTCACCGGCCGCGTACAGAGCTGCACGAGGCGCCTGGGGCGTAGCGGAGCCGATTCTGCGTGTTCTGCTGCTCAGGAGGCTCAAAGGCGAGCGCGAGAGGGGCTGGACGCGTTGCCGCGGCGCGCAGCCGGGACTCGGGCAGCGCGCGCGCAACGCCGCGGAGCTGCCTCCACACGGCGGCACGTGCACCGCCAGCGCGGCAGGGTTCTGGTCTTGGCGCCGCGAGCAGGAGGCTTCCTTCCTGCTCCACCTCCCACCACAACAACCCTGCGCCAGCACATCATGGCCTCCTCTCAGTTCGGCGGACTGCCCGTCTTCACCGCCGCTGCCATTGCGGCCGCGGCGCTCGCCGCCGGCCTCACGCTGCCGGCGCTGGTCCCTGCCGCTGCCGTCGTGCCCCGTCGCCTCGGCATCAAGGCCCGCTCGCAGCAGGGCCGCGGCGTGCTCGACGAGCACGAGCTGGCGCGCCGCAGCCTGACCTGGCTCATCCAGGCGTTCGGCACCGGCGGCAGGCACGCCGCGGACACTGCCGTGGGCGTGATGGTCGCCAGTCCGAGCAGACCCGAGGACCGCCCGGGCGGCAAGGACGAGAATGGTGCGTGCGCGATCAGAGGCTGTTCTGGATCCTCGCCGACTGACCATCCCGTCAGAGTGCTACTACTTCAACTGGCCCAGGTGAGCAGCCTGTGCACGGCACGTTTGTGACACTGCTGATTGCCTCACCAACAGAGACACTGGACTGTGCGTGCGCGCACTCATCGGCGCCCTCGAGCGCGCCGAGCAGGGCCTCGAGATCGGAGTCGAGCAGGAGTCTGCACGCCGCCTGCACGGCATCATCAAGGAGTGCGTATCGCTTTGCAGCGCCATCTCGCTAGGATCTCCTGCCCTGCGTCTCGCGCTTCGCCTCGCGCTCTCCGCTGACCTGCCGCAAACTTAGCACTGTGGAGCTCAACATGAAGCTGCAGCTGCTTCCGAACCGCTCAGGCACGTTTGAGACGGGCGGCATCGGCGAGCCCAAGTACATGCCAGACGGCAGCGCTTTTGAGGACAGCTGGGGCCGGCCGCAGAACGTGAGTGCCAGATCAGCAAGCAATGCTACGCTCGCTGAGACCTGTCCAGGACGGCCCTGCGCTGCGGGCGCTGTCGTACCTGCGCTACGCCAACTACCTGCTCGCCACTCGCCCGGCCGGCTCGTCGGAGCTCGAGTTCATCTCAACGCTCTACCCGCGTGGAGGCACCCCGGACTCTGTGCGCGCGCTCGTGCGCGACGATCTCGACTTCGTCGCCCGCGTCTGGGCAACCGACAACACCTTTGAGCTCTGGGAGGAGGTCGAGGCCTCGCCCTCGGCGGGCGGCGGACACTTCCACGTGCTGTGTGTCCAGCGCGCGGCGCTGCTGTCGGGCGCCCGCTTCGCTGCGCGCGGCGACATCGCCGACGAGGAGCGCGCGGAGCGCTACACCGCGGCGGCGCACGCCATCGAGGAGCGCATGGAGCGCTTCTGGATCACCGACGGCAAGATTGAGCATGAGGGCGGCGAGGCAATCAAGGAGGGCCCAATGGCCATTGAGTGGGACGACGCGCGCCGGCTCGGTGCGATTAGCAAGAGCACGCTTGCGCTGCCGCACGCCACTCCCACGCTCCAGCGTCTTGGCGGGCAGCAGAAGCCGACCGAGGTCGATGTCGCGTGCGTGCTCGGCTTCATCCACGGCTGGAGCGGGCACCTCGAAGGCCAGGACAAGGACCTCTGGGCGCCGTGGGGCGAGCGCGCTGCGGCCACCCTGTACCGCTGCCTGCTGGTGTTCCGCGACGTCTATGCCATCAACCAGGGCAAGGAGCTCAAGGACGGCATTCTGTGAGTGTGCGCTTGGCGCGGTCTCTGCCGTGCTCCAGACTGACAGAACCTGTGCCAGCGTGGGCCGCTACCCCGAGGATGTGTACGACGGTGTCGTCCAGTCGATCGGCCACCCGTGGTGCGCACAGCCTCAGATCGCTGCAGTGGCCGTGCTGACACACACGCAGGTTCCTCACGACGCACGGCACGGCCGAGCTGCTCTTCATCTCGGCCGCGCACTGGGCTCGGCTGGGCCACGTCAAGATCACCGCGCTCTCCCTGCCGCTGCTGCAGATCTGCGACCCGAGCGCCAACATTGGCACGTTCCACCGCGGCAGCGACGAGTACGAGCGTGCTCTGCGCGGCCTGCGCTCCCTCGCCGAGCAGCAGCTGGCGCGCTGCCGGGAGCTCGTCTACTCCGACGGACGCATGGACGAGCAGATCGAGCGCCAGAGCGCCGTGCAGCGCGGTGCACGCCACTTGAGGTGAGCAGTCCGTACGCAGAGCAGTGAAGCGTCACTGAGATGCGGCCCCGCCTCCAGCTGGAGCTACGCGAGCTACCTGTCGTGCTGGGACGCACGCGACGCTCGCGAGGCGCGCACGTAGCGTGCGCCAGCAAGTGACCCTGGATCATCGCCTCTTCAAGTTATCGTCAATCACCGAGCCCCACACTCCGTCCCCCTGCACCTCGAGCGCCACGAAGCGCCGTGGAACGACGCGCACTGGGCGCGACATGGAGCGTCAAAGGGAGCACCCCCTGACGCACCACTCCCCCTCACATCACATACCGTGGCCATAGACTGTGACATTCTCCCTACACCTCGCCCTCCCACCCATCCAAATCAATGTCCTCATCGCTGCCCACCTCGCCGCCGTCGCGCACTGCCAGTCCGGCCTTGCGCCGCGACTTTGCCTGCTTGCCTGCCATGTCGCGCTCCTTGCGCTCGCGGGCTGCGGATCTCGCTTGCTCCTGACTGGAGAGCTGGCTCGATGCAGGCGAGCTCGGCTTGGCCTTCTTGCTCTTGCGCAGCGACCCGGCGTCGCCGGGCTTGAGGAAGCCTGGCGGCAAGGTCTGCGATGGCGTGAGCAGGCAAGTCCAGCCAGCACTGGGCCCTTGCGCCCGACTCACGCTGCCGTCTTCGACCGCCAGCGCTGCGCTGCGCTTCTTCTCCTTCGACTTCCGACGCACGGGCTCGCTCTTCAGCTCCTCTACGATCTTCATGCCCTCCCGCTCTTGTTCGTCCATCTCCTCTTCCTCTGCTGCCTGCTCTGCAGCTGCGCTCTTCTTTCTCGCCCAGGAGCCGAATGTGCGGCGCGAGCCGGCGCCTGCTGGCGACGCCGAGGTCGAAGCGAGCAGCCACGAGTCCCAGGCAGGCTCGTGCTGGATGCGTGCAGCAGACGGAGTCGCCGAGCCTGACGCGCCTGCAGACGGCAGCACCCAGTGCTCATCGTCGTCGGCCGCAAGCTGGGTCTGCTGCGCCGGCGTGCTTGCTTGCGGCGAGTCGACGGCCGGCGTGCGGCTGGGGCCAGGCGTGGCGGGAGCATCCTGCGACGCGGGCTCTGCGGCGGAGCGGCTGGCCGCTGCCGTCGCACGCTGCATGAACTTGAGGCCCTGCACGCGCCCAGAGAGCGCATGCACGGTGGCAGAGCGGGACGAAGACATGCCAGCAGAGGTGTGGGGCGTGGAAGCGGGAGCGCGAGGGGGGAGGATGTGGAGGGAGGCGAAGAGCGATGCCTCACCGCTGCGCCGCCGCGCCGCCGGCGCGCGCAAAGGCAGCCGCCGCGCGCCACGCACCGCTGACCGCAGCGCCTCAGGCAGCAAGCTCACAGCTCACATCCCTCGCTCGATGAGCGCCACGCCGAGATGGCCAAGGCACAGCGCATCAGGGACATCAAACGCTGGTGCGCGCGTGGCATGCGCCGGCAGGCACGCAGGCGTGCTCACACACGCGCGCGGACGACGGCGGCGTCAGCTTGCCTCTCTCTGTACAGCTCAGCAGTGCGTCGTCATTTCGCCCCCCTCTGCCCTGTCATGTCAAGCGATCCGCATGTCGCCGCCGCGCCGGCCGCTCGTCAGGCGGCAGCCGGCCACTGGCAATGGCGGCCGCGCGCTGCCGCTCGCGCTCGTCGTACACGCGGCGCTTCTCCGCGTTGCTGCTCTTGACGCTGAAGTAGCCGAAGCCGGCGAGGAAGACGAGGGCCGTCCATCTGCGCAGAGGGCGGCATCAGCAGACGCAAGCACGAGGCAGAGCAGCCAAGGGCGCAAGGAGGGCGCACCCGTAGAAGATGGTGCTGGGCCGCCCGAGCTGCTTGATGCTGCGCAGGCCCGCGCCGGTGCCCACGGCGCCGCCGTTTGGGCGTGGCGGCGGAGGTGGCTGCGCCATGTGGAGGCAGCGCGGGCGCTGTGCTGCGTGCTTGAGGCTGGAGGTGGTTGATGGAGAAGGGAGGGGACTGGGAGCGGCGGGCCTGTGCAGGTGGAGCGTGCCTGAAGCGTGGGTTTCGCTGGGCGCGCACAGACCGCGCCAACGCGTCAAAAGCAAGCGAGGAGCGCTACTCGTGCTTGCTTCCTCTCCACCACCACCGGCCCTCCACGCCCCACCCCGTCCTCCACCTGCATCTTTCTCTTTCCAGCCCATGGCGTCCGCAGCCGCAGGCGCCTCGCGGCGCGCACGTCCGCCGGCGCACCTGCTCACGGCGCGCCTGCTCTGGCTGCCCGTCGTCGCCGTGCTGCTGCAGGACGCCGTCGGGCTGGCGCAGGTCACGGGCGCCAGCATGGAAGTGAGTGTGTGTGTGTGTGCAGTGCTGGGCAGAGGGATGGAGGGTGCGAGAGTGGACGAGGAAGCGAAGCGAGGCCTGCGAGGAGCACTGGAGAAGGTGTGCTGCCGGCGAAGCGAGGCAGCGCGAGGAGCTGCCACGGTGCCGCTTGCTCGTCAGCACCACGAGGGCCGTGCCGCCGAGTGAAGCAGGTGTATCTGGCGCTGCACGCTTCGTTCAGCGGCATCCTCCGTGACAACGCTCGAGCTGGCCCACGCGGTGCAGGAGCGCATCCCGGCCCGCCGCACTCTCCGGCGTGCACTCTGGCTGCAGCCTTCCCGTGCTGACCCCTCGCCTCATTCTCATCTGCAGCCAACGCTCAACGACGCCCCGTCACGCGCCAAGCACGGCAACGCCATCGTCGTGCTCAACCGCTTCGCCGGACGCTGGGGCGGGCCTTCGCAGTGGAAGCGCGGCGACGTCGTTTCGCTCGTGTGCGTCTTCCTTGGCAGCCACACAGCTGTGCCCGACTGCTGACCCCCGCGCTCCCTTGCAGCTCACCAGTCGAGCCAGACCTCATGCTCACCAAGCGTATCCTCGCCCTGCCCGGCGACGTGCTGCGCATTCGGCCCGACAGCACGACGCACGCCCTCGAGTCCTCCGCCTCGTCGCGCGCAAGCAAGCCGGGCCACTTGCGCAGTCTGATCCGCATCCCCGCCGGACACGCCTGGCTCGAAGGCGACGCTTCGGTTGCGGAGCATGCGCGCGACATGCAGCCTGGTGCACGACCGTGGCAAGGACTGAGCCAGAGCCGTGATTCGCGCGAGTTCGGACCGGTGAGTCTCTCTCTCTCTCGCTATGCAATACGCCCCCCTTGACACGTCACTGACTGTGACAACGACGCATCACAGATCCCAATCGGCCTCCTCCAAGCTCGCATCGCCTTCGTCCTCTGGCCGCCTTCGCGCTTTGGCTTTCCGGCGCCGCGGGAGGAGGAGCGCTGGCGCGAACTGCCGCCGCGTCGTGCCGGCCCGCGCTAGACGTCCGTCATGCACTTCAACCTCCTCAACACGGCACGCACGACAGCATGCTCGTACGACTTCGGCTTAGACCTGCGCCTCTGCGGCACGCGCTATCGCACCTCGTCATCTTCGCAGAATCAAGCTCGTGCAGCACCACGCCGCTTCCACCGCTCTCAGCCTCCACCGCAACGCCGGCGACTGCTCACTCGCCAGCTCCAGCGCACGCTCGTCAACGGCAGACCACTCGAGCCCAATACGTCTCCCCGCTGCTCTACCTCGTCTCGACCAACAACAGCATGCTCGCATCGCTCAAGAACATGTGACGGCGCCCCAGCTGAGCTCGGCTGGGCTGCCCTCGTATGTCTTACGGTTGAGTCTTCTGTCGTTGTTCGAGGCGAACGTCCGCGCTCGACGGAACGCTCGCTTCTCGTAGCGACAGCGACTGCGCATCTCGCACATGCGACGGCGGCGCCCAGCTGAGCCTGGCTGGGCTCGTCCTCGCATGTGTGGTTGATGTGCTTTGTTGCGAGTGGACGAGGTGCATCTGGCCGGCCGGTGCTGCTGTCGGGGCGAAGAGATGTCCTCGAGCGCCATCGCATCGACAGCGAGAGCGACATCTTGCAGACGAGTACCTCACTATTACATGACGGACACGCAGCTGACAGCTGGCGACCGTCGCATCAGAAAAGGTACGCCTGCCTGATGTTGCTGTCGAGGCGACGAAACTGTGCCGTCGGCTTGAGCTCCGACAGCGACCAAGCGTAGCTTGCTTCGATCGTGCGACGGTGTCCAGCCGGCTGTTGAACGCCGTCGTATGAACGAAGCGTGCATCGCCGGTGTCGCTGTGAAAGCCGAAGAGGTGATTGCGTGTGCGTGGAGTCGAGCTTCGACAGGGACGCGCACACACGCAGCATTTGCACGCGACGGCGCCGCCGTGTTCGCACCCGAGCAAGCCGCGCCTCCACAGCCGAGGCGCGAGTCACAGCGCGCGTTCCTGAGGCCGTGGACAGTGCAGCGCGGCTTGGCGTCGCCTGTTGCTTCGCGCTCACCACAACACCTCAAGCACGAAGAGCTGCAAGCATGACGACGCCGTACATGGCTCTTCCGTCGCAGGCGGCGCTCCAGGCTGCATACGTGGGCCTGCCTCTGGCAGTGCTCCCGACGCCCAGCGTCGTCATTGACGTGAGCATCATGCGCCGCAACGCCGAGCGCATGCGTCGGGCCGTCGACCGGGCGGGCGTGCGCTTCCGCTGCCACATCAAGACGCACAAGGCCGTCGAGGGCACGCGCGTCTGCCTCGGCGCTGAGGGCAGTGCGCCGAGCCAGCACCGCGCGATCATCGTCAGCACGCTGGCAGAAGCATGGCACGTGCTGCCGCTCGTCGAGGAGGGCGTGGTGGACGATGTACGTCGATCTCGTCGGGCGATTCCTTCTGATGCTTACGCTGCGTCCGCCAGATCCTGTACGGCGTGCCGCTGCCGGTGTTGCGCATCGCCGAAGCGCGCAGGCTGCGCGACACGATGCGCGTCCGTGCGCCGTCCGGCAGCACGCCCGAGCTGCGCTTCATGATCGACAGTCCAGCACAGATTGAGGCGCTTGACGCAGCTGGACTGCCGGAGGACGGGCCCTGGTCCGCCTTTGTCAAGGTGGAGTGCGGCTACAGGTGCGCTGAGGGCGCGTCCCCCTTCTCTCTCTTCTGCTCACGGCGCCCCCTGCTCACAGACGTGCAGGCCTCGACCCAGCCGCGCCAGAGACTCCCGGCGCCACGGTCCGTCCGACAGGCCAGCGCTTCTGTCAGTGGCGCAGCTGCGGCAGTCAGGGTTCTGCACGTTGCTTCGGCGCTGGTACAGCTTGCGCTGCTCCCAGCCGCAGCCGCTCAGACGCAGCGGCAGCATGCAGCAGCGCGTGCCGCTCAGCCGGCTCTGCGATCTCACTCTCATACACGTGTGCGTCGAGGCTGCGGGCGCAAGGCGCTGCCCTGCGCGAGATGTTGCATTCACGCCCCCGGCGGCGAGGCCTACGACTGCGGGCCGTACAGCTCCTCGGCGACCTCTCTGCAGAGGCGCAGCTTGGCGAACTGCTGCTCGTGGTCGATCGCGTTGGGGTGCACCGTCGACGAGAAGCCGCACTGGCCCGAGATGCCGAGCTGCTCGAGCCCGGCGGGCACCATCTCGGCGGCGGCGCGCATCTTGGCCACCAGCGTCGCCTTGTCCTCCATCGTGGCCACCTTGGTGCTCACGAGGCCCAGCACGACCATCTTGTGCGCCGGCAGGTGCGGCTTGAGCGCGCTAAAGTCGGCGCCCGAGCGGCGCTCGTCCTCCCACTCGAGGAAGAAGCTGCGTGCGGCACGTGTCAGCGTCACGCGCGCCTCTCAGCACCAGCGGCATCACAGGCATGCACAGTGCCGACGGATCGGCATGACAGCACTCACGCATCGACGTCGCAGTCGCCGAACAGCTCCTTGGCAATCGGGGCGTAGCCCTCGCTCGAGCCCAGCGCGAAGTACGTCGACTGGGGTGCGGAGGCGTCAGAAGGTGCTGCAAGAGAGCAAGAAACGTCGTGTCAAGCCAGTCACTTTGTAGTTGCCTTTGCAGACGTGGGTCGCTGTGGTCAGGTCGTCGGGACGCGGACTGATGCAACGGTTGATGAGGGCGACGTAGCGCGCGGGGAGCGTGTCGACGTCTTCGCCAGCGTCGCGCTGCTGCTGGCGCATCGTCGGGTCGGTGAGGTACGCGAGGTTCGTGTCGTCGAACTGGATGTAGCGGCAGCCGGCCTGGTACAGCGCATCGATCTCGGCGCGGTACACGGCCACGAGGTCGTCGTAGAAGTCGGCGAGGTCCGGGTACGCCTCGGTCGACACCGCTTCGCGGCCGCCGCGCAGCAGCATCGTCGGCGAGGGCATGGTGATCTTGATGCGGTGCGACTCGCCGGCGGGCAGCAGGCTCTGGAGAAACTCGAAGTTGCGCACCTCGATGCCTCCCTGCGGCCAGGCGATCTTGGCCGTGACGGCGAGCGTGGGCGGCTTGTGGCCCTCCTTCTGCTCGAGGGTGTTGAACTGCTCGACGACGCCGTCGATGTGCTTGAGGAAGTCGAGGTGGAAGCTGCGCCGGGGCGTCAGGCGTGCCACGCCCGCGCTGCTGCGGCGCTGCTCACTACTGCCGGCGGAACTCGCCGTCGGTGATGCACTGCACGCCCTCGCTCACGAGGCGGCGCACATGCTTGGCGATCTCCTCGTCCTCGACGGCACGCAGGCCGGCGGCGTCGAGCTCGCCGGCAAAGTGCGCGGCGCGCGCCTTGAGCACGGCGTCGGGACGGATGAAGCTGCCGACGTGATCGACACGGAAGACGCGACGCGGAGCAGGCATGCTGAAACAGGTGATGGTGGTGGTAGCGAAGACGACCGCGCAGCCCCTTGAGCAGCGCTTAATTGCAGCAGAGCGGGGCAGGCGAGCCGGTGCGCTAGAGTGGCGCCTCCACCTCCTTCTCGTCGCCGCAGCCGCGGGGCCGGCGCGGCGCGCGCGTTCACCTGCACTTTCTGCGCGCTGGAGACGGCCCTCGGCCGCGCGAGGAGACGAGCCTCGCCGATGCTGCGGCGTGCCCGAGGCTGACGCTGACGTGGGCAACGTCCCGGACGGCCGAGATCGGGAGCGTATGGTTGCGGGCTTGCGCTCGCACGTGCTGCGGGCGACGTTTGGAGCTCAGCAGGCGCGACGCGGTGCTCCGAGCTTGCTGCGCAGAGCGAGAGCGGCAGGAGCATCGGCGCCGACGCCGGCACCGCTGCTGAGCGCTGAGGTGCAGCGGTGCCGCCCGCTGAACGCTGCTGCTGCTGGTGCATGCTGCGCCTCTCGCTCTGTGCTGGTGCGCCGGCGCGATCATGATGCTGCCAAGAAGGGGCGCGCGCATGGCGGGTGCGGCACCTGCAGCTGTGGCACTTGGGCAGTGTGAGCGCTGCTGCGGATCTACAGTAAGGCGGGCGCGGCGGCGGCGGCGGCGGCGGAGCTCGGCGAGAGCGCAAAAGGCGCCAAGGCGGCGGTGAGGAGCAGCGCAGCACCCAGCGGTCAGCAAGCAGCGCAGGTGCAGCCGCGGCGCTTTGTGCTCGCTCTTGCCCCTCGGGCAGCGCCGCCGCGCCTGCTGCTGCCGAGAGCTGATGCTGGCATCCGGGGCGCCGGCTGGCTGGCGCATGCGATGCTCTGCACCACCATCACAAGCACCCTCCGCCGCACCGCACCAGCATGCCGCTCCTCACCGCGCTGCTCCTGCTGCGTGCGCCGGCCAACGCGTCGTCGAGCGTGGGCAGCAGTGCCGCCGCAAGCGCGTCGCGCTCCGGCTCCGCCACGGCCTCGCTCGCAAGCGCATCGGCCACGGCCACCGCCTCGGGCGCCGCAGCGACGGCCTCCAGCTCCAGCGTCGTCGTCGTCGTCGCCGCGGGCCACAACAGCGAGGGCACGCTCGTGCTCAACGAGCAGGGCGAGTTCAACGGCTCGTGCAGCGTCATTGCCAGCAGCGTGCCCGACGCCGCCGAGGGCAGCTGCGCCGGATAGTAAGTGCTGCTGCGGAGCCGGGATGCGCGGAGCAGGGCGATGCAGGATGTTACTCGGCGAAGGATGCACCATGGGCCGCGGCTGCATGTGCTGCAGAGATTGCATGGCTCCGAGCCGCAAGGCCAAGAGGGCCAGGGGCAAAGTGGAGCGCAGAGTGCAAACCACACTGCGAGGGGTATCGCTCTCTAGCCATGCCCGAGGAGTCGATGCCGCAGACGCGCAGCAGACGCGGGTGCCTCGCTTGTAGGCGCATGCGCCTCTCGCTGTACTGCTTCGCCCGGCCGGCGAGATGCAGTGCGCTTGCAGGGCCACATGGAGCTCCGCCTAGGGCTGCTTGTGCAAGGACTCTGTCGCCCGCGTCTTGACGCTGCTCAGTGCTGCTGTCTCCTGTGTGCTTGTGCGATGGCGAGCTCGAGATGTCCTGTCATGCGCCTGCGCAAAGACAGTCGCCAGCTCGCCTCGCTGTCCTGTGGTCGGTCGACTGCAGGGCACATACGGATGTGTCGGGCGTACTGCGTCCGCTCAGTGCTCAGATGGGACGAAGCTCTGGGCCAGCTGCCATGACTCCGCCGCCACATGGCGCTCGCAAGCCGACTCCGCACTCATGCACGTTTCGACTGACGTGGGCTCCTGCAGCATCCAGGACGTGACGAGCTACTGCTGCGCAGCCGTCGGAGGCAACCTGACGCAGATTGCGCTGCCCGACGGGACCGGCTCGCCCGAGGGTGTGATGGGCACCGAGTGCGAAAGCTCGGCATATGTCGACAGTGAGTCTCGATTCACCTCTCGCAGGCGCGCCATCTGACATGCCCGGTCGCAGTGCTGCAGTGCTTCCAGTACACGTCGCAGAACCACTGCTCGCACACGGCGCTGGGACCGTACGGCATCTGCAATCCCGCCGCCTCGCAGAAGGACACGTCGCGCTCGCTGCAGAGCAACAGCGGCAGCACGAGCAGCGCACACAAGCTGCGCTCGCCGGGCCGCATCGAGAGCGCATTGACCCTGGCGGTGCTTGCTGGTGGCGTCGCGCTGCTGATGGTGAGTGGCGAGCGATGCCGCGGCCTGCGCATCGTCGCTGACCGAGTTTCGCAGCAATAACCCCGGCTCCCCGCCCGCCTCGTTCACGCCGCCACGACCCTCTCCACGCCCAGCCTGCATACTCATACCCCCCGGACTTCCACCTCACTGCTCTGCGCGCCCTCTTCCTGCCTTCGCCGCCTCTTTCACCTGTTAATTAGCACGTCTTGCATTTCACACCCGAGCTCTCTCTCCAGCGTGCGTGTATTAACGAATGGTGGTGGGATGGAGGCGCGAGCTCTAGCAGTTGCTCTGCCCGCAGCATCAGGTCTCTATGGCGACTTCGACTTCTCCTCGGGCTCCGGCGCCTTGCCCGCCTCGCGCCGCTTCTCGGCCTCGACGACGTCGTGCACCACATCCTTGGCCTTGGCCATGACGCCCTTGTCGGCATCCTCGGCGGCGACGGCCTGCAGCGGCGCAAGCGAGGCGGCCGTCGGCTGTGGGTACAGCGTCAGGGCGCGCAGCAGTGGGGATGGCGGCAGGCCCAGGTAGCGGCGCAGGTCTGCAGAGACAGTCGTCAGTCTGAAGGCGGCTGCAGCGGCGTCGAACAGGCAACTCACTACTCTGCATCTGCTCCTGCTCGATTCCGCTTGCTTGCCTGAGGACAAAAGAGAGGTTAGCGCTTGCCTCAACGCTGCGGCTGAGCACGCTACGCACAGTCCGCGCTCGCTGCACGCCTGCACAAGCAGCTCAGCATCTGGCATGTCGCCGCGCTCCACAGCCTTGGCGAGCGCAGCGTCGTCCGCCTTGACGAAGGCCACGTGCGAGGAGAGACGGCGCACAAGGAAGGCTGCCGGGCCCCAGGTTGCGAGCGCGTGCATCCTGCGCAGAGGTCAGCACATGTTCGAGCGGCTATTGAGCGCGCGTGGACTCACTTGGCAAGCTCGACGAGCCGCTCGCGCTCTAGTGTCCGCAGCGCAGCACCCTCATCAACGGCGCCCACGGCAGGCTCGACGGCCAGCGCGGCGTGCACGTCCGACTCATGCTTCCTCAGCTCAAGCACGGCGCCAGCGCGAGCCAGCTCCTCCTTGACGCGGATTTTAGACGCTTGCGAAGGCAAGATGCAAGTCGAAGGCAGCAGACCGGGCTGAGGACGAAGCAGTGAGCACAGGTGCGCAACAGCGTGGGCGAAAGACGCACAGCGTAGATGACGACGAGCGGCAGCAGCTCCTCGAGGATCAGCAGAATGGCGAGAAAGAGCGGCAGCTTGCACATGTCCGCCGAGTGTGTCCGACTGCAGAGAGAGAGTGTCAGTACATGCCGATCGACGGGAACATGGCAAGAGCGAGGAGTTCATGGCAAGAGCGATGGGCTATACCATTGCTAGTGACGTGAGAGTCTCATGCAGCGCCCTGGCAGCCGCGAGATGAATCTAGCTCGCAATTTAAGTCGGCTTTGCGCTTGCCATCGCTGCTCAGACGCAAAAAGTGGTCTTTGGCGCAGCTTGACACAACGTAGCAGCCTCGTCGACAAAGGAGTGCAGCGACCTGGTCGTGTGAGCTGATCTCTGCAGCTTCCGTTGAGACTGCGAGCTATGACGCTCTCTGACTCGGACTTGCGCCCTTGACCTCAGAGCAGGGAAATCACAGAGCGCCGCTTCCGCTTCCAGCTCTACCGGCCTCATTGCAGTGATCCCGCTCCACTCCCTCACTTCGCCTCCGGACTACACCGCCTCGCTCCGTTGTCGCCTCACGCAGCACTCACAGCACTCTCCCCTCAGCCCAGCTCCACTTCTCCTCTCCTTCCTTGCGAGTCAGCGCCGCCGCACGAATCTCCTTTGCACGCAGGCGATTCGTCTGCAGCTGCTTCAGGCCAGCGAGGTAGAACTTGAAGAGAAACTTCGCCTGCGCAAAGAGCGTCTTGATGCGCTCCTGGATCGTCGGCTGCACTGCTTCGGCAGTAGTGGGCGCTGATGGCGCAGAGGTCGAAGGAGTGAGAGCCGTCTGCTTCTTGGTGCTCGCTGCGCTGCTTCGAATGCTGCTGCTGCTGCCTTCTGACGACGCTGCAGCGTTGCGAGAGCGCAGCGCTGATGGCGGCGCGTCGGGCGGTGGCGGCGGCGCGGCAGCAGCGGCATCGTTCTGACTGCTGCGCGGCTGCGGCTGCGCAGAGGTATGCCTGGTTGCCACCTTGCTGCTGCGAGCCGGCGGCGGCGGCGGCGGAGCGGCCTTATCATGCGCGGCCGGCTCGTGCGGCGCCGGCGGCCGCAGTGCAGCGTGCGAGACGTGGAGGGCTCGTGGGCGCGGCAGAGGACGCGGCACCGACGGCCCGGCCACGCAGAGCGGGGCGGCCGAGTGCGAGGCGCGCAGCAGGCGAGGCAGACGCTGCATGGTGGAGCGAGCAGCGAGGGAGCGAGGAGGTGGGTGGGAGGACAAAGGCGCCTTGGACCCGCCGCGCGCCCTGACCGTGGTGCTGACTAAGCGCGAACCGCACAATCTTGTGCGGTTCGCGCTTAGTCAGCACCACGGCCCACTCGCCTTGGCGCGGGCGCGAGCGCAAGTGAGCGGGCGATGTCAACTTGACGTCGCGCAAGCTGAGCAAGAGTCAGCGCCGAAATTGAGATCTGCTTTGAGGATGCAAGCGGCAACTCACGGAGTGTCGCCATAGCACTTGCGCAGCGCCGCCACTCGCTGAGACGTGCCCTGCGGATTCGCCTTGTCGTCGACGCGTGCGCCGTCCTTGAAAGCCGCGGGCGCACTCGGCGCCGCGAGCGTGCGACCGGGCGGCTAGCGTGCCGCGCGCGGGCGCGGCGGGTGGTACGGCGCCAGCACCAGCATCTGCCGGCAAAACCCTCGAGGCCGTCCGGGGAGCGAGACACAGAGATAGGGGCGATGCGGGGCAGCATACGGCGCGGAGAGGTCAGGCTCGCCGCCTCGCTGTGCGTACTGACCAAAGTGATGATGCGGATGCCGCTGCGGCACGGCTCAGCTCGGCTCGGCACGGCTGCGCTGCTGGTGGATGCTGCGGCGTGCGGTGCTGCGGCCGACGCATGAGCGCTGCGGGAGCGCGGCGGGCGTGCCAGGCGCCGCTCCCGCTGCGGAGAATTGGGAGGAGCGGCGAGCTGCGTTGCTGCGTCCGCTGCTGGCAAGGCTGCATGCTGGTGCGGCATACGGGGCGCTGCGCTGGCGGGACGATGCTGCCGAAGAAGCATGCGGCGCACCCGGCGAGCTCGGGGCGGCGGCGCGGCAGATGGCCGAGCATGGCCGAGCAGCGAGAAGGAGGGGCCGGCGGCATCTTGCACCGCGCGGCTTGGCCTTGGGGCGCGCGCGACAAGGCCGCGACGCGCGCGCCTCGCTCCTTCCTTGCCGTCTCCAGCACCCTCATCGCCGCCTGTGCCGCCGCCGCCGCTGCTGCTGCTGCTGCTGCCGTCGCCGCAGCCGCCGCCCGCAGCATGGCGCCCGCCTCTGTCAAGCTCAGCCGTGCGTGCCCTCTGCTGCGCCAGGCGCCGCCCGCTCACCCGCTCCGCGCGCAGTCTTCGAGCCGCTCGTCTACCTGCGCGGCCAGTCGGCCACGGGCGAGGATGCGCGCGGGCGCCGCCGCCAGGTCGACTTTGAGGCCCCGCCGGCGCAGCTGCGCGGGCTGCTCGTGCTCACGCTGCCGCGCCCCAGCCGCATCAAGGAGATCAGCGTAGAGCTGCGCGGCACGGCGCGCACCGACTGGCCCGAGGGTGCGTGTGCGGCGAGTGGGAGAGGGCCAGCGTGGGTGCATAAGGGTAGCTTGGGGTTGTAGAGGTGGTGGTCGACGCCTGCAGAAAGGCGCTGCTGAGAATGCGGTGCTTGGCCAGTGCAGAAGGGCTGCTCGGGTGCTGCGGGAGTGGCGCGCCGCTGTCTGTTGCGGCAGCATCTGTGCGCTCCGATCAGGAGGTGCAGACTCGCAGACGCAGACTGCACGCAAACCTGCGCGCCGTGCTCGCGAATGACTGCCGCTCTGCGCCCGCATCAGGCTTGTCTGCCCTGCTTGTCCTGTGCTCATCCTGCGCCCACAGGCATCGGCTCGAACCGCCTCGAGCTGGGCGAGGAGTCCGTCATCATCAGCCAGACGGTGTCGCTCTTCCACGCGCGCTCGTCGGACCTGCTGCCGCGCCGCCGCGCACAGAGCATCGGGCCGGGCATCTCCTCTGCCGACGTGCATGCACGCGGCGCCGCGGCGGAGGACGGCCGCGTCGCCGGCGCCTTTGCCACGCCGACGTTCAGCAGCACCATCGAGGGCTCGTCGGAGGAGCGCGCCGGCCTCGCGCGCGTGGCGCAGGTGGCCGCGCGTGCCGGCAGCTCGCTGCTGCCGCAGGCGCTGATCCGCGAGCTGCAGGGCGATATGCCGCACGGCAGCTCGGGCGCGTCGCTGTCGTCGGGCCGGCGCTCGGGCACGTCGACGCCCAAGAGGCCGTCGATGCGCCGCGCCGGCAGCGCAGGCAGCGGCGGACCCGTCTCCGGCTCGTCTCTCACGACCGCCAGCTCGCACGCGAGCAGCAGCTTCTCGCCGAGCGCCAGAGGCGTCCCGTCGCCGCAGAGCTCTGCCCTCTCTGCAGCGCCTCTGCGGCCGCGCAGCCCGCTGGTCTCGCCGCCGCTGAGTGCCCAGGGCGAGCCGCCGCCGTCGTACACGCCCAACGCGCCGCCGCGCACGGCTTCGCCGAGCCCACTTAGGCCTACCTTGCCCATCGCCGCTCCCACCTCGCCGCAGTCGAACCACGCCGCAGGCCCGCAGAGCCGCAGCATTCTGCACCCGGCAGGCCGGCAGGAGCGCAACGCCAGCAGTCCGAGCACCGAGCGCGGCGCTGTGCGCTTCGGCCAGGGCCCGCCGCCGGGTGCTGCAACGCCCGAGGCTGAGACTGCTGCACCCGCATTCCCGAGCGCTTCGATGCAGCGCAGCGGCAGCCTGCAGTCGCAGCGGTGGGGCAACGCCACGTCGGCACCCAGCACGCCGTCCGTGAACCACACATTCAACCCGTTTGCGGCGGAGAGCTCGACTTCAACCTCACGGCGCCGCAGCACGGACAGAAGCATGGAGCCCGCCGCAAACGCGCCGCTGCCCGCAGCGACGAAGCCAAAGGCCAAGAAGGGCGGCATCAAGAGCCTGCTGGGCGGCTTGCTCAAGGAGGCCGACAAGCACCGCGACGACGAGCGCGAGACGCGCGAGCGCGACAAGGACGAGGAGGGCGGCGTGTGGCGCGAGTTTGCCAAGGGTGCGTGGCGCAGAGCTGACCTGGCCATGCTGCGACTGACATACCTCCTCAGGCACGTACACCTACCCGATCTCTTTCCCGCTGCCGGCCGCGCTGCCGCCGACGCTGCATGCAGACTTTGGCTCGAACGTCTACCAGCTGCGCGGCCTCGTGGTGCGCTCTGGTGCGCTGACGCCGAATCTGGCGGCCGAGACGGAGGTGGTGCTGGTACACGCGCCTGACGAGGACGGACGCGAGGAGACGGAGAGCATCGTCGTCGAGCGCACGTGGGAAGACAGCCTGGCCTACGCCGTCGTCATCTCGGGCAAGTCGTTTCCCGTCGGTGCGACCATTCCGCTCTGGCTGCGCCTCGTGCCCATCGACAAGTGCCGCGTGCATCGCGTCGTCGCTACACTCGAAGAGCGCGTGAGTCTGGAGTGAGCCCTAGCGATCGTTCCGTTGCTCAACCATTGCTGCCCAGACGGATTACTTCGCCAAGGGCCGTCGCATCGCGCGCCACGAAGTGCCGCGTCGCTGGACGCTGCTCAAGCTCATGTCGCCAGTGGCGGGCGAGCCTCTGCTGCCCATCACCTCCGAGTCGCCCGACGCGCTCTCTATACATCCGCTCACGCCGTACGCGCAAGCCGCGGCGCTCTCGTACGCCGAGGCAGACCGCCACGAGGGCCTAGGCAACCCGGCCTCGCTGCTCGACCCGCTCGGCCCGTGGGAGATGGCTGCGGAACTGCAGGTGCCGATGGGCACGCGCATCAACATCTCGACAAACCACGCGCGCTCAAACATCGCCGTGCGCCACATCGTGCGCCTCTCCATCCGTGTTGAGAAGGTCGGCGCGGGGCGCACGACGGGGCCTGACGGCAAGCCGCAGCTGTTCGACATCAACATCGAGTGCCCGCTGGCGCTGACGCACTCGCAGACGGCGCATGCCTGGCTGAGCCTGCCGGACTACTGGAGCCTGCCGGCGGCGCGCGACGACGAGCTGACCGTCGTCACGGCGCCCGACGGCGCGCTGCCCCCGGATCTCGCCGGCACTCAGCGCGCCAGTGTCGCTGTGGGTGCCGAGACTGCTCCGCGCTCGTCGCCGCAGCAGCGCGTGCCGCTGCCGACGGTGCGCAAGATGAGCAACGGGCCGAGCTCGCCAGCGACCAGCGTGCCTCTCTCCGCCGCGCGCCATGCCGAGCTGCGGTCGGCGCGCCGCGGCGTCAACAACGTCACGGCGGCGACGCGCGACGCCGGCGGCCCCGCCGCTGCCAGTGGCTCCACGCTGCCCGCCGCGGCCCGCTCGCCGCCGCAAGCCGGCAGTCCGCAGGCCGTCGGCCGCGCCTGGCTGACGCTCAGCACGGCGCCGGAGTCGCCCGACGGCACGACGGCCCGCATCGCCGTGCCGCGTGGCAGCGAGGCGCTGCCCAACGCTCCCGGCGCGCGCGAGGCCGAGGAGCTGCCGCCGAGCTATCCGTGGGCCACGGCCGAGGCAGACCGCACCGCCTCGATCGCCTGAGAAGAGCTGCGCCGCGCCGCCGCTTCCCCTCCCACCCTATACCCGCTCGATGCTACCGGATCCCTGCAGGGGCCTGCTAATTCGGACACCCACCCACATCATCCCGGCCCGCATCCCCATCAATGTCACGCTCTCCACTTCTCTCGACGACGCGCCGTCGCTTGCCGTTGCAGACACGTCGCATTTGCGCCGCCCTCCAGACGCTGACCCACGCCCGTATCTCGGGCTTGAGGTGACAGGCTGAGTTGCCAGAGCCGATTTGGGCTGGCTCCAGGCATAAAGATATATTGGGCAGTAGGTTGCCCATGCATTTAGAGGGGGGAGCCTAGCCAGGCTGGGAAAGGTTGTGGCATGAGGGCGGTGGTGAGTGAGCGACAAGATGGCCGAGCGCTGCGCACGAGAGGCGCGCGACACGGATTTTCCGCGAGGCTGTGCAACGCCCTGCTTCGCTTCCTTGCCCTCCTCCCACTGCCCCTCATCGCCGCCCAGCCACGCCGCGCTTCACTTCCTCAAGGGTCACCCATGCAGACGAACCGCCCGGGCACGGCGCCGGACAGCATCGGCCCGCTGTACGTGCTGCACTTCAGCTCGGAGCACGCCTCGTTCCGCCTGCCCGAGTTCGCGGCCGTATGCACGGCGCTGGGCGTGCCGTACGCCTTCGTGCCGACGCCCGACGCCCGCGAGCCGTCGCCGAAGTTCACGACAAGCGCAGAGGGCTCGCTGAGCTCGGCACCCAGCGCAGAATCGTTGCCGAGCTTTGCCGCCTGCGCAGGGCCATCCGACGTGGACCCGTCCGACGAGTGGCGGCCGCTGCAGGAGTGTGAGCGCCCGTACCAGCTCGTGCACCTGCCCGACGACGACGCCGTGCGGTTGCTCGCGACCCGCCTCGTGCTGCTCTGCGGCGCGTACGCGCACTGGACGACGGGATACAGCGCCGCACGCACCTCGGCATACCTCGCATCCGGCAACGTGCGCCGCTTCTACGCGCCGTACCAGAACCGCAGCTGGAAGGCGAGCATGGTGTCCATCAACCGGCGCATGCCCGAGGCCGAGCGACGCACGCTGATTCCGCGCGAGGCCGAGAGCATGCAGCTCGACGGGCCGATCAACCTCAGCGCGCCGGAGCTCGAGTGGACGTGGCTCGAGGACTGGTCGCGCCGGCAGCAGCTGTCGAAGCACGAGGTGCGCCACTTCGTGCGTGCCGTGCACGTCGGGCGCAAGGTCGAGCTCGGCGCGCAGACGGGGCGCGCGCTCGTCGAGTGGATGAGCCTGAAGCGGCGCGCATACATCGGCAACACGAGCATGGAGGCGGAGATGAGCCTGATTGTGGCTAACATGGCGCTGGTGAGTGGGCTGCCGAGGGCGAGCCGCAGTGGAAATGGGTCTTCCGACGCTGCGGCTCGCTCTCTGCTCGTCCGCGCCCTGCCAGGCTGGGGCTGACCTGGCCGGGCCCGTCTGTGCAGGCGCTGCCGGGCACGCTGATGTACGACCCGTTCCTCGGCACGGGCTCTCTCATCTACCCGTGCGCACACTTTGGCGCCCTCGTGTCGGGCTCGGACATCGACATCACCATGATGCGCGGCAAGGACGGGCCGAACCACTACGACGGCGGCGTCTTTGGCGGGCGCGGCGAGGGCTGTGAGTCGCAGCACAAGCGCTTTTTGCTCTGGCCGTGCGCTGACGTCGCACAGCGGTGCGAAGCGGCATCCACGCTGCCGCAGAGCAGTACGGCGTCGCGGCGCGCCTCGTCGACATCTGGGCGGCCGACGTGACGCACTCGCCGCTGCGCACGCTGCGTGGCGGCCTCTTCGATGCCATCGTGACAGATCGTAAGTGTGCCGCCGCGACACAGGCTTCGATGTGCTGACTCGTAGCAGCGCCGTATGGCGTCCGCGCCGGCGCGAAACGCTGCGGCCGCCGTGACGTCGAAAAGCAGCGCACGGAGCCGTACCTCTTGGAGTCGGGCATCTGGTCGCACGAGTGAGTCGCGCGCCCGTCGAGCTTGACTCGTGCTGACCCTCATACAGGCGGCCAGAGTATGCGCCGCCGATGAAGCCCTATCCGCTGCGCGACCTCATCGCCGATCTGCTCGACTCGGCGGCCGGGCTGCTCGTGCCCGGCGGGCGCCTCGTCTTCTGGGTGCCGACAATGACAGCCGAGGGCGGCGAGGCAGACGGCACAGACGCGGGCGAGCAGGTCCTGTCGCTGCCGACGCACCCAGCATTCCGGCTCGTTGCGCAGTCGCTGCAAGACTTTGGCCGTTGGGGCCGCCGAGTGCGTAGCCTGCTCGAGCTACCGCCCGCCTGCCGCTCACCTGTCTCCAGCTCATCACGATGGAGCTGCTGCCCGAAGACGCGCGGTCACAGGCATCGCAGCCCATCGGGCTGCCGCAGCCGCCCGCTGCGCACATGCGCGGCGCCGCAAAGACGAAGCCAGGGCGCCTGCGCGCCGACCAAGATCCGACCGACTTTCGCAACAAGGTGCGCTAGGCCGCACCGTGTGGCCCTTGCGCGCGTTGACCACTCTCGCAGTTCTACCGCAACATCTCAGTCACCGGCGACGCAGGCACACCATAATGATGACCAGATCAAGTGCGAGCGCCAGGCGCGTGTATGAGGAGGCATGCTTATGCACGATGGGTGTGCGGACAGCGGAGACGTACAGGACGGACAGGACAGACGGCGGAGCTAGAGCACTCTAGGATTCCGAACGGGCCAGTGCGGACACTTGTCTGTCCGGGGCTGCCCAAGAGCTCTTTTGGCTGTGTCCGAGCTCTTTTGGCTGTGTCCAGAGCTGCAACAGCCCCGCGCCGTTCCGGCTCGGGATTTTGGAGCTTGAGGGGCTCCCGGCGGAGAACTCCGCGCGCGTTTGAACGCCCCTCTCAGGCGGCAGCGTGCCTGTCCTTCACTCCTCGACGCCCACTCTGAGCCACTTAGCCAGTTCCTCCTCTCTCGCCTCTCTCCCCTCCACTCCCTCTTCTTCTGCATCTGCCGTCTCGCCCACCTCGCCTGCTTCCTCCTCTCCCTCCTCCGCGTCCGCGTCCGCGGCGCCCTTGCCCCTGCTCGCGCGTGCATTCTCCGCGACGACGTCGATGAGGAAGTCGAATAGATCGCTCTTGGACAGCGCGCCTTCGACGTCGGAACGCAGCAGGGTGCGCCGCCGGGCTGCGGTGGCGTGAAGGTAGGCGCGGCAGGTGAGGTCGGCTATGAAGACTATTGAAGAGGAAGAAGGTGAAGCCAGGTCAGCGAGCGTCGGCAGTGCCATTTGAGTGCAGGCCATCTCACCCTCGCAAGCACGCGCAAAGATGATGGGCGCCTCGGCAGAGATCATCTTTTAGTCGAGCACAGCGTCAGCGCTCGCCCTCGCAGTCGGTCTCGCTTCTGAGCTGGCAGCACAGCAGGAAGAGTGGGCCGGTTGAGCAAGACTCACCTTGATCTCGTCGTCCTCCTTCATCACTTTCTGTAGAGGCGCATATGAGAGAAGAGTCAGTCGTCGCTTCCGTCGAGGAGCTGTCTCTTTGCTGGCGCTGCCCCCTCCAAGCAGAAACGTGCGCTGCCCAGCGCCAACGAGCCAAGGCAGTGATTACTGCTCAGCCATCGTCCCTCTTCTCTCCGCCAGGACCTCACTTTCGCACGCTCAGCCAAGCTGCTCACGCGTGCTCGCAGCTGACGGCTTTCCAGGCTCTGTCGTTCTGCAGCTGTCCCAGAGCACGACGGAGTGCACGAAGACTCACCTTGATGCGCGCCAGCGGCAGTTGTCCCGGGCCCGGCTTGAACTTCTCTCCGGGCGCCGAGGCTGGCGCTACTGGCGCCGCCTCCTTCCTCTTGCCCTTGCCCTTTCCCTTGCCCTTCTTGCCCTCCTCCTCCTCCTGCGCAGCAGCAGGCGCGATCGACGGTCCAGCGGAAGAAGAGGCGCGCTCGGCGTCCTCCTCGACGCTGCGCATCTGCGCCTGCCAGAAGCGCGTGTGGAAGGTGGCCAACGTGTCGGTGGGCAGCACAAGTGGGCCCGAGGAGGGCGGCGGCGGGAGCGGCTTGCGCGAGGGCATGGCGTGTGAGGTGGGAGGCGGAGGATGAGGTGCGGAGAGGAGGTCGAGTGGAGGCTTCTAGCGTCAGGTCAGCCCCGCACTTCAGATGCAGCCGAACATTCTCGGGCGATCCGGCTGTGTCGGGCCGGCGACGGAAGCGGCGGCCGGCACAGCCGGGCTGCCAAGAAGCACCGCGCAACCCGGCTTCCTCCAACACCACCACCTCACCCGCCCGCTCCCGCCATGCTCGCACGCGCAGGCCTGCGCCGCGCCGCACCTCTGCGGCAAGCTGTCGCTGCGGCGCGCTGTGCCAGCAGCGGCAGCCCGGTGCCGCCGCCCACCGCGTCGCCGCCGCCGCGGCAGCAGCGCGGCGGCCTCGTGCGTGCCCTGGCGCTCGGCCTCTTCGGCGCCTCGGCCTACGCGCTCGGCTCCATCTACCCGCCCTCGCTCGTCTCGCTCCTCTACCCGCAGCCGGCGCCGCCGCGCCTCGCCGCCGACTCGCCCGAGGGCAAGGCGCACACGCAGCGCATCGAGAAGGAGCTGCTGGCACTGCCCGAGGTCGCCCAGCTGCGCAGCCTCGCGTCGCCGGCCACGGGCGCCTCGGCGCTTACGCACAGCGGCAAGTCCGTCGCTTCCATTGCGCCGGGCGCCAATGCCGTCACTACGCCGCCAGCGACGTCGGCCAACCCGCAGAGCACGTCGCACTACCTCGCCTCGCGGCCCTACGCGCGCTTCCCGCCGCAGAAGGCCATGCACTCGCTCACCGCCGGCGCCCTGCGCGGGCCGGGTCTCTTTGCCGTGCCGCCGCTCGTGCTCTCCCTCACGCCGCACGGCGCCGCGGCGACGGGCGGCAGCGAGGGCGACGCGGCGGCCTTCCTGCACCTGGGCCGCAGCATGTGCGGCCACGACGGCCTCATTCACGGCGGCCTGCTCGGCACCGTCATGGACGAGACGCTGGCGCGCACGGCCTTCTACGCGCTGCCCTCGCGCGTCGGCGTGACGGCGCGCCTTGAGCTCGACTACCGCGCGCCCGTCAAGGCGGACCAGTTTGTCGTCGTGCGCACGCGCCGCATCGAGGCAAAGGGCCGCAAGGCCATCGTCGAGGGCACCATGGAGACGCTCGACGGCAAGGTCCTCGTCAACGCAAAGGCCATCTTCGTCGAGCCCAAGTTTGCCAAGCTGCTCGACACGAGCCTTGTCGCCAAGATTATGGACACGGAGGGGGAGGCGGCCAAGTAGAGCATGCGCATAGAGGACGCCATAGACATCGTGCAAGGTAGAGCCAAATCAATACACCGTCACCTTTCACTTGTGCCACAGAGCAGTGGTGCCGCAATGGGCGCTTTGGGCAGCAGAGTGACACGTGCATGCACGAGCGACCGAGTCCAGGCATGCGCTGCAGCGCTGCACCACGCCGCGCACACGCTTCTCGACGCACACAGGCAGACTCAGAGCGCGCAGATTGACGGATTGATGCATTCGCGACCGCCTCTCACGTCAGCTTGATGAGGACAAACATGAACACCCAGCTCATGCGCCGAGCAGGTCCTCATGGCATGCGGCGGCCAGCGGAACGCCGACGAGCGCGGCGGGACCTCCACGGTCGAGTGCCGACTCGAGCTGCGCGGCGCGCGCGCCGCGCGCGCGCGCCGCGCGCACGGCCCGGCGTCTTGCTCTGCGAACACTCGGCGATCTCGGCGATGCCAGGCGCTCCTCTCCTCCGCACCCTCACACCCCGCAATCATGGCAGCGGCATCACACGACGAGCCGCTGTACCTCGGCATCGACGTGTGAGTGCGCCGCCCACACACACCGCCGCACGTGCTCACACGCCGCAGCGGCACGGGCTCGGCACGCGCGGCCCTCTTCTCGGCCAGCGGCGCGCTGCTCGGCGCCCACGCGCGCGCCACGACGACGTTCCGCAGCCCCGCCGACGCACGCGTCTTCGAGCAGAGCACCGACGACATCTGGGCCTGCATCGCCGAGTGCTCGCGCGCCGTGCTGCGCGACGCCCACGCGGCGCCAGCGCGCGTCAAGGGCGTCGGCTTCGACGCCACGTGCAGCCTGGCCGTCGTCGACGGCGCCGGCTCGCCCGTCGCCGTGTCGCCGACGCCGCAGGGCTGGGCGCACGGCACGCAGAACGTCATCCTCTGGGCCGACCACCGTGCCGAGCAGGAGGCGCACGAGATCAACGCGTCGCGCAGTCGCGTGCTCGACTTTGTCGGCGGCACCATGTCGGTGAGTGGCGCGCGGGCGGCCTGCTGGCGGCGCCGCCCGGCTCACGCCTCGCCAGCTCGAGATGGAGCTGCCCAAGATCCTGCACCTCGCGCGGCGCATGCCGCCGGCGCTCTTCGCCCAGTGCCACTTCTACGACCTGCCCGACTTTCTCACCTGGCGCGCCACGGGCTCGCGCGCCCGCTCGCACTGCAGCCTCGTGTGCAAGTGCGCCTACGTGCCGCCCGGCGTCGTCGCCGACGGCGGCTCGTCGGGCTGGCAGCAGGACCTGCTGCGTCAGCTCGGCCTCGGGCAGCTGGTCGACGAGGGCTACGCGCGCCTCGGCGGCGCGCCCGACGGCGACGGCGTCATTCTCACGGCCGGCCAGCCCGTCGCGCAGGGCCTCAGCGCACGGGCGGCTGCCGAGCTCGGCCTGCTGCCCGGCACGGCCGTCGGCAGCGCGCTCATCGACGCCTACGCCGGCTGGGTCGGCACCGTCGCGGCGCCTGCGACCAACGGCCCGTCAGCGGCCGCGGCTGTGGCTGCGGGCCTCGAGGCGAGCGAGGGCCGCCTCGCTGCCATTGCCGGCACGTCGACGTGCCACGTGCTGCAGAGCACGCAGGGCATCAAGGTCAAGGGCGTGTGGGGTCCGTACAAGAATGCCGTCTTTCCCGTGAGTCGCCTGAAGCCGGTAGATGTCTCGCGCTCATCTCGCGACGCAGGGCATGTGGATGAACGAGGGCGGCCAGAGCTCGACGGGCCAGGTGAGTGCCGCAGTGGACACCGACCTGCGCTCTGCTGACTCTCGCGCAGCTCATCGACTTTATGATTGACTCGCACCCCGCCTCGCCGGCGCTCAAGGCCGCGTGTGCCTCGACGGGCACGTCCGTGTTCGAGGCGCTGCACGCGCAGCTCGACGCGCAGCGCCTGGCTGCGGGCGTGGCGCACGACTCGTACCTCACGACGCACCTGCACCTCTACCCCGACCTGCACGGCAACCGCTCGCCGCTGGCGGACCCCAGCATGCGCGGCCTGCTCGACGGCCTGGCGCTCGACGCCAGCGTGCACGACCTGGCGCGCGTCTACTTTGCCACGCTCGAGGCCATTGCGCTGCAGACGCGGCAGATCATCACGGCGCTGCGGCAGGAGGGGCACCGCATCGACGCGCTGTACATGAGCGGCGGCCACACGCGCAACCTCGTCTTTATGCAGCTGCTCGCCGACGTGTGCGCCATTCCCGTGCAGCTGCCGGCGAGCAGCAGCACGAGCGTCGTGCTCGGCGCCGCCATGCTGGGCCGCTTTGCGCACGAGACGAGCGACGGCGCCGCGCTCGAGTCGCAGGCGGCCGCCGAGGCGCACGCGCACAAGCACGCCGACCGGCTGTGGCACACTATGGTGCGTGCTCGCCGCCACCCCTGGCGCGCCCTCCCTGCTGACGCGGCACACAGGTCGACATGAGCAAGCCGGGCACGTTTGTGTTCCCGTCCGGCGACGCCGCGCTGACGCGCTTGCTGGACGCCAAGTACGCCGTGCGTAGCATGCTTTCCTTCGGCAGGGCGCCGCTGACCCCAGCCTCAGATCTTCCTCGACGCCATCGCGACGCAGCGGCGCTGGCGCGCGGCGATGGACGCTGCCGTGCAGCCGCTGCCGGCTGCGGCAGCATAAGGAGGCGCAACGAAATGCGAGAGTGTGGGTGCGGCTGGCCGGGCGTCGAGAGAGGGGTGTGCTGCGCGCGGGCGGGACAGCAAATTGCCAACCTGGAAGGGCTCTTGCTCGAGGGCATTGCCCTGACCGAGCGCTATCGTGTGGAGTGCCTGCACAGACCAAAACGGAGCATGTGCGATATCTATAGACATGCGTTGAGAGGTGGACTAGAATACAGTGTGAGGTGACAGGAGAGTCAGAAGGGTGTTCAGGCCGAGGTGCCGTCTGCGTGACGATCAGATTGGCGGTCGTTGAGGGCGCTTGGGTCCCAGCTGGCCACGCCGGCAGCGTGCGTCGGGGCATCCTCGAAGAGAGCGCTGCCGAAGCCAGGCGTAGCCTTAGACTTGCGCTCCTTGCGAGCCGGCGTGTCCTCAAGCGCCAACTCTTCGCTGTCGTCGAGGCGCAGCTGCTCTGGCTCCTCGGCTCGCGGGCCGAGCAGGTTGCGCCAGAAGACGTTGAGCGCCTCGGCGCTGACGCGCGAGTCGTCTGCGCCGTCCGAAGCGGCCCATGCGCGTAGACGATGCGCCACGTACTGCAGCGACGGCATGCGACGAAAGACGCCGCGCGCTGCGTTGAGCTCCTTGCTGTAGGCACGCCAGGTCAAGCTGGCCGGCGGGGCGTACTTGCGCATGGCGGGCGTTGCAGCAGAGGCAGCGGCAGAGCGGCGAGCACTGGCAGAGGCAGAAGCGGCGGCAGCGGAAGAGGCTCGGAGCACTGCCGAGATGCGGCCGTGCTCGCGGATGAGCTTGAGCGCGGTGCGTCCGGCGATGCCGGGCACGGTGCGGTTGAAGTCGGTGCCGCAGAGAAGCGCGAGCTCGAGCATGCGCTCCCAACTCTCGGCGTCGGCCTGTGCGGCCGCAGTGCTGCTCGCGTCGAGGCTCGCCGACACGTCGCCTGCGTTTTCGTCGGCAGAGCTGGGCGTAGCTTCATCGTCGAGGATGTCCTCGCTCTCTGCTGCTGCGGCGTCGAGCGCAAGTTCCGGAACACTTGCGCCAGTCTGCTTTACGGCAGTTGAGCTAGTAGAAGCTGCTGCTGCTGCGAGAAGACACGGCATGTCAACATTGCATCGAGAAAGCGTGGCAGGTCCCGAGTCGATCTCAGCAAAGTCTCATACTGGCAGCATTAGATGCACCATCAAAGCGACGAGTGCAAGGCAGCATGTCGCCACGCGTGCATGCGCCGCCGTGACGCTTCCTCAGCCCTTTTCCTATATGATCGGCGGCTTGGCCTTGCGGCACAGGCCGACGACGCCATCACTGACCGCTCGGTAAATCGCGACAAGACGCGAGCACTCACCAGCAACAGGCAGCGGCATGCTCTCCGGCGGGAAGAAGGCGTGCCTGACCTTGCGGCCATCGACGACCTGCAGCTTGCCGCCCAGCGCGCCTCGAATGAGTGGCACGTCGAAGAGCAACGTATCACTGTCCTCCGACACCACCGCATCTGCGTATCCGTCGCGCACAACGCGCGCACAGAGCGCCTCGGCCTCGTGTGCGCGCAAAGCATTTCGGGCGCCCGAGCCGGTGTAGAGCACCGGGATGTGATGCAGCGCACACAGCTCGGCTGCGAAAGGCACCACTGATGGCGGGAGCTTGGCGCTGGATCGCTCGTACGAGGCGCGCAGCTGCGCTTGCGAGACGGAGAGGGAGCTGAGCAGCTCAGCGGGCGCAGCGGCCTCGGCGAGAGCTTCGAGTGGCGCGGCTGCATCGCCAGTAGCTACGCTTGCTGCGCATTTAGGCTCCTCCTCGGCGTCTGCGATGCGTTGCGCCTCCGCAGCTTGCGTCTTCGCAACTTCGACCTCCTCGCTCTCGCGCGCCGTCTCCGTCTGCGTCTCCTCGACAATCTTGACAAGCGCCCTTGCTTCTTGCCCTGCCAGCAGCGCGGCGTACACCTGCGCCTCCTGCTGCGACAGCAGAGCCTGCCGTGGCGTCTCTGCATCTCGCTCGGTTCCGGCTGCGCCCGCCGCTGCAGCAGCATCGCTCTCGCCAGAGTGTGCAGAGTACGAGGCGCGCAGATGCGCTATTTGCGCTGCCAGCGCCAAGGCGGGCGATGTTTGCGCCTCGAGGATCTCGTCCCATGCGGCGCCGCTCTCCGCAGACGGCGCAGACGTCGTTCGTATTGGCACTGGCGAGAGCAGAGATGCGCGTGCGCCACTTGACTGCCGCTCGGCGTCGAGCACGTCGTCGATGTGCCGGCCCAAAGGCAGCGAAGAACGCAGCTCGTCTAGTAATGCCGGAGAGAGCGTCACGTCTTCCTCCTCGGGCAGGCGCGGCAAGCCCGACCGCGGCTCTGGGGCAAGGAGCTCGTCGAGCAGACTCAACGATGGCGGATCGGACGCGCTCGCCTGCTCCAGCGGCACGTCCCAGCGCCTCAGCCAGCGTGCGCACTCGGCGCGCTCGTCGGCCTCCATAGCCGCAAGCCTGTCAAGCGCAAGCTGCAGCTGCGTCAGGCGGGCCTGTCGTCTTCGCTCTGCCTCTGCTCGCTGGAGGATGCGAGCACGTGCGGCGCGGCGGCGCGCATGCTCGCGTGCCTTTTGCGGCAGGCGCGCCGTCGGCAGGGGATTGTCGAAGACGAGCAGCGGGCGGATGCGGTGTGTGCGCAGCGTGGCGAGAAAGGCGGAGAGGCCAAGCAGATGGCGATGCGGCGAGGCAGACGAGGAGAAGTGTAGGCGCGTAAGGAGCAATGTGCCGTCGCTGAGTGTTGCAGAGCATCAGCATGAGCATGTCCGCCGCGGCGCAGGCGGCACGGCGTAGCACTCACACGGCGACGCGCCTGCCCGCCAGCGCGTGCCAGCCGCTGCTGCTGGGCGCCGAGAGGTCGGTGACGGCGTCGGGCGCATGTGCGCGGATGAGGGCGAAGATGCCCTTGATGCCGTGCGCGCTCGGCGAAGGGCGCATGGCGGGCGCAGAGGGAGCTGGTGGCGAGAGGAGGCGATGCGGCGAGAGCAACACAACGCACGAGGAGCGCCGCCGCGAAGCTGTGCTGAATTCGCGCTTCTCGCTCGCGCCTCTTCTTCCTTCCGCTCCGCTCACTCGCACTCCTCTCGCCATGACATCGCCAGCCGACCGGCGCATCGTCGTGCTCATCTCGGGCTCCGGTGCGTAGCGTCGTCAAGCGGGTACGCTCTTGCGCTCACACTGCCACAGGCTCAAACCTGCAGGCGCTGCTGGACGCCGCCGGCTCCTCTTCGCTGCCCGGCGCACGCGTCACGCAGGTGCTGTCGAACCGCAAGGCCGCGTACGGCCTTGAGCGCGCTAAGAATGCTGGCGTGCCGAGCGCCACGCTGTCTTTGAGCCCATGGCTCAAGGCGCACCCCGGCTCGTCGCGCGACGACTACGACGGCCTGCTCGCCCAGGCCGTGCTGGCCGGCGGCGAGGGCAAGTCAGAAGAGGTGCTCGCAGCCGCACGCGAGGGCGCTGCTTCCTCGTCAAGCGCACCTGCAACTGCGCTGCCCGACCTTGTCGTGCTCGCCGGCTTCATGCACATCGTCTCGTCGGCCTTCCTGGCGCCGCTGCGGCGCGCCGGCGTGCCCGTCATCAACCTGCACCCGGCGCTGCCGACGCAGTTCGACGGCGTCGACGCGATTGGGCGCGCCTGGCGTGCGTTCCAGGACGGCACGCTCAAGGACGGCAAGACGGGCGTCATGGTGCACGAGGTCATCGAGGAGGTGGACCGCGGCGCGCCCATTGTGGTGCGCGAGGTGCCGTGCAGGGAGGGAGAGAGCCTGGAGGAGCTGGAGACGCGCATCCACCAGGTGGAGCATGAGATCATCGTCGAGGCCACACGGGAGATGCTGCAGCGCAAGCAACGGTGAGGAGGCAATGTCACCAATCACAAGGCGCTGGCGTGATATGCATTGTCAGGGCATGAGGGCTGCGGCATCTATGAGAGGGATGGACGCGACGTCTATGAGCGACAGCGGGTGCGGGAATGCGTGGGGCCATGAGCGTGGCGTAGGTATGTAGCGGGGTCACTCTAGGTGGACGGAGCCATGCGCGAGTGTGGAACATGCGCGGCGGGTGACGCAGCATGGCGGAAGCAGGGCCAACGATGGGAGCATCTGCGCGGAGGAGGGATGCGCGAGTGTGTCGCATGTACGGCTCGCAGTGGAGCGGGCGAAGATGCGAAGATGGGAGCAGCGCAGCACGCTCAGGTCGCCAGGACCTCGTCGGGAAGGTAGATGCCCGAGTCGTCGCGCGAAAGCAGCTGCGGGCGCGGCTTGTGGCGCGGCGGCTGCGGACAGAGCCTGCGCAGCATCAGGTCGCTGAGCATGTTCTCCTCTGCGATCTCGAGCTGGTCCATCGAGTCCCAGCTCACTGCGAGGTGCGGATGCCTCAGCTATGGCACCTCGTGCGACGAGGCAGAGCGACTCACGTTGCGTAAAGTGGATCGTCACCCAGTCCATCACGCGCGACTGCGGCGCGAAGTGCAGAGCACACAGCGGCCCCGCGACGATGAGCACGCTCAGGATGCCGAGTGTGTTGAGCACAAGACGCTGTGCGCCGTCGAGCGCGTACAGGCCGATGCGCAGCGAGGGTGCGAGGGTGGAGCGGCGGGGACGGCTCATGCTGGTAGCGCAGCTGCGGATGGATGTCTGGCACGCGAGACTACGAGGAGGATGACGCGGCTGGATGAAAGCGAGCAGATGCTGTGGCTGCTGGACGTGCGAGGATGTGCTGAGGTGGTGGTGAGAGCCCAGCCTAGCCTGAGCATCGTCGCTCCACTCTGTCAAATGGTAAAGGCCGCAGTCCAGATATGGCGCGGCTTACGATAAGGGCGAGCAAGGTACGGCCTCTGGCGCGGCCGCGTCGGAGCGCAATAGACTCGGAGCCGTGCGCAGTCAGAGTTTCCTTGTCTGCTCCTCCCGCGACCACCGCGCCGCTCCTCCTTTGTCCACAGCGCCACGGCCTGCCGCGTCTGCACTTCAAAAGGCGCTCAGCGCCGCCTGTCGGCTCCTCCCGCTCCACCACCTCCACCATGCTGCGCTCGCCCCTCCTGCTGCGCTCCGCTCTGCGCACCTCGCACGGGCCGCCCAGCACCGCCTTCGCTCGGCAATGGCCACGGTCTGAGCTCCGTCGCGCGCTGCACGGCAATGCTCCGCTGAGACGACCAGCGCCGACCTCGCCGCTCTTCCTGCGGGCAGTCTGGCGGCCCGCTGCCAAGCCTGCCACGCCCGTCTCGGTGCCCGCCGCAGATGCCCTCGTCTCGCCCGACGGGCGCATCAGCGCTCCTCGGCCCGAGGGCAGCGGGCAGGCCATACCTGCTGGCGTCATGGACCAGCTGCGCGGTGATCCAGAGCTTTACGCTCGCTTTGTCAATGCCGAGGCACCCAGCGCCTCCAAGGCGCTGCTGGTCGCGCTCGGCCTTGCGGGCAGCTGCTACGTCGCAGGCGCATGGTGGTCCGTCGCGCAAGAGGAGGAGGCGGAGGCGCAGCGCAAGCAGCAGGGATGGAGCAGGCTGCTGAAAAGCGGTCCGGCCGACTGTCCTCGCTGGACGTGAGTGCTGCGCTGCATGGAGTCTGAGTCTTCCGCTGACATCGTGTCGTGGCTTTAGCGCCGGCGCTGCGAGGCTGCAGCAAGCTTGTGACTTCCTCCACCTTCCACAAGCGGTGAGAGAGGCGCTCTCCGACGGCTATGTCTCCTGCTTCTTGCGGTCAGTCACAGTGGACGCTTCCTGTCCGTCCCGGCTCACATGCGCCCAGATATCGCGATCTCCCGCCGTACTCGCAAGATGCAGTGCCTATCATCGCGCTCAACGCCGGCGTCCTCTTTCTATGGACACTGTCGCGCATCCCGGCTGCAGGCGGTCTGCGCCGCCTCATGAACCGCACGTTCCTTGACGTGCCGAGCTCGGGCAGACGCTGGACGATGCTGACGAGCAGCTTCTCGCATTCGGGATGTGCGCGTGTGGCCTGCTTCCCCTTCTGACGCCAGTCGCGCTGACACGAGGCACGCTCAGTCATTCATTTTGCCATGAACAACTTTGCGCTGCTCAGTCTCGGCTCCGTCGGCTTTGCCTCGGCCAACTGGTACGCCTCGAGCGGCTTCCGGCGCACCGAGGCATCCGCCGTGCCGCACCTGTTCGCCTTCGCCGGCGCCGTTGGAAGCCTTGCAGCGCTGGCCTTCCACATCCAGGGCGCCGTCAACTTCCGCATGCTGGCGCGCCGCGCTGGCTACGTGTTCGCCAAGGCCAAGATCGGCACACAGAGCGGCCTCGGCGCCAGCGGCTGGATCTACGGCGCAATGGTGCTAACCGTCATGTCGACGCCCGAAATGCGTCTCAAGTACGTCTTGCATGCCTTTCCGCTCGCGATTCTTCCACTGACGCGCTCGCGCAGCATCCTCTTCCTGCCGCACTTTCAAGTGTCGGGCACGGAGGGCATGCTAGGTCTCTGCATGGTCGACGCGCTCTGCATCCTCTTCCGCGTCCAGATCTTCGCCCACTGGGTGCACCTCACCGGCGCCGCGCTCGGCTACGCCTACTACTACTACGGCCTGGCGCTGTGGGAGGCGACGCGCGCCCAGGTCCAAGAGGTGCGCGCCCAGCTTGGTCTCAGCCAGGTCGCAAGCCAGAAGGGCGCTTGCCGGGCGATTGTGCCTGCGCGACAGACAGCGCCAGCGGCGGCGCCGCGCGGCGAGCGGCTCGTCTGACGCTTCTACCTCACCGCTCCGCATCTGTTCTTCTGGACTGCTCGAACTCGCCTGCTGTGCTTGCTCAATCGCATACCCCTGCTCATCCCATGCTGGTCCTGCTCTATGCTGCGAGAGGCCCGAGAGAGTCAGCCCCGCTCTCGCAACCTTTCATGCTTGATGCCTTCGTCTCAGCGCCAAGCTGTCCACTTCTGCAAGTCTACCAGCAAAGGCAGGAGAGCGCAATGACGAGTGACTAACTTCGTTCTTTCCCCCCGTGCCTCCCACGGCGCCTCGTCGACTCTGGCCCCAAGCTCGCCTCGCCTCGTCCTTGCACCTCAGCGCAGCGCTGCACTGAGGCGCTCCCAGATCTTCTCGCGCACCGAGAGCTCGCGGACGTTGGGCGACAGCTCGTAGCGGCGCAGTCCGGGCGAGAAGAGGTTTGCTTGGCCGCTTTGCATCAGCTGACGGCCTAGGTGAAGCAGAAGATCACGTCAGTTTGAGAGAGAGAGAGATTTTGAGAGAGAGAGAGAGAGAGAGAGAGAGAGAGAGAGA